CACGGACAGAGAGCATACAACTATGTCATCACCTTTATCGACGCCGCTACCCGATACGTCTGGCACCTTTACCTTCCGAGCCGCGACATGGCTTTCCAAGCCTTTGTCGCCTGGCTTCTAGAAGCAGAACGGGAATAAGGAGTGAAACTGAAAAGCTTCCAGTCAGACGGAAGAGGAGAATACCAGTCACAGCGATTCACGCAGTACCTGGCAGAGAGAGGCATCAAGCGACTCATTTCACTCCCCTGCGCCTATCAACAACAAGGCGTGGCAGAAAGAATGAACAGGACCCTCCAGAACACCATGCGCAAACTGCTACGCGGCATGCGACTGCCCAACCACCAGTGGCCTGAGGCGATGGACCACGCTGTCATGCTGCACAACTTGCTCTCGTCATCATCGCTCCCGAACAACGCATCACCGCATCTGCTGTGAACAGGAAAATTGGGCAGCACAGAAATGTTACGAGTATTCGGCTGCATGGTACAGTACCGACCCCTGTCAGAATGTATTTGCTGTCTAGCCTGCAGTGGGGTACTCTGTAGTGAGTACAACCCAATTTAGGGTTTGCTATTTGTATCCCAACTCTTGCTAGTCCGATTCTCTTCTTCCATTTCTCTTTCGCCTACGCTCTAACCTAGCTATGGCTTCTACATCATAGCTAGGATTCTGACATGGCATCAGAGCGAGTACGCTCTTGGCCTGTGGGCCCACCTGCTTCCGCTGCTGTCCTATCTGTCGCGCGCCCCCTGGCGTGCGACGTTTTTCTTCCCGCCACGCGCTCGGGGCGCGCGGCGGTTTTCTGCCCACCGAGCGCCCTGTGGCGCGCGGCGGTTTCCCGCCCTCAGGGGCCCGCGCGCGCCCCCTTCTCCCGTCGCCCGTCGTGGCGCCCTCAGGGGCCCGCGCGCGGCCCCCCTCCCGTCGCCCGTCGTGGCGCTCTCAGGGGCCCGCGCGCGGCCCCCTCTCCCCTCCCGTCGCCCGTCGTGGCGCCCTCGGGGGCCCGCGCGCGGCCCCCTCCCGTCGCCCGTCGTGGCGCCCTCAGGGGCCCGCGCGCGGCCCCCCCATCCCGTCGCCCGTCGTGGCGCCCTCGGGGGCCCGCGCGCGGCCCCCCTCCCATCGCCCGTCGTGGCGCTCTCGGGGGCCCGCGCGCGCCCTTCCCCCTCCCGTCGCCCGTCGTGGCGCCCTCGGGGGCCTGCGTGCGGCCCCCCCTCCCGTCGCCCGTCGTGGCGCCCTCAGGGGCCCGCGCAGGGCCCCCTCTCCCGTCACCCGTCGTGGCGCCCTCGGGGGCCCGTGCGCTGCCCCTCCTGCAGCTCGCGAACCGCCCCTGCAGCCCGCGAGCCGCCCATGCAGCCCGCGTGCCGCCCCTGCAGCCCGCGAGCCACCCCTGCCGCCTCCTGTCCTCGTGCAACTGCGGGGTGGCGGGTATGGGGGTGGCGGGTGTGTGAACCGTCCCTTGCTCCTCCTCCTCCTCCGTCTCCCACTGCTGCAGTTGCCGCTGAGGGGGGTGGGTGTGTGGGAGCCGAGGGAGTGGTGCTAGGGGGGTGACGTGGGAGTGGAGCTAGGGGTGCAGCAAGGGGTGTGTAAAAGGGGGGTGGGACAGTTGGGGGAGGTTGAGCGGAGGCTGCCGTCTTGTCGCCCGCAGCACCTGTAGTCCGGGGCTCTGCTGCTGGTAGCTCAGAGAGCCTACTGCGCCTGTCGCCCGTGGGTCCGTTGCTCCTGCCGCTCAGAGTTAGCCGCAGAGCCAGTTAATTCTGTAGTCCGGGGCCCTTGCTCCGGTAGCCACCGTGCGCGCCGCTCCTGTTGCCCGTCTGTCTGCAGCATCAGCCGTCGCCTCCTATCTCCTCTCCTCTCACAGTCCAGCCTCCTCCTCCTCACTTTCCCTTTATGAATGCCTCTAGCTTTGCTTGTACTGGTGAACTTGCTCTATGATTGCTTGCTCTGCTGATTATACCCCACTTTGACTGTGGGGGTGTGTCAGAATGTATTTGCTGTCTAGCCTGCAATGGGGTACTCTGTAGTGAGTACAACCCAATTTAGGGTTTGCTATTTGTATCCCAACTCTTGCTAGTCCGATTCTCTTCTTCCATTTCTCTTTCGCCTACGCTCTAACCTAGCTATGGCTTCTAAATCCTAGCTAGGATTCTGACAACCCCCAGCTGCACGAGCTGGCCGATTCTCCCAACGCGCACAGTGGGGGCTACACTTGGGCATCGAAAAACACTACAACGCATGGAAGATTTTTGACGTCCACACAAAGGAAACAGTAGCAGCACGTGATGTCATTTTCTACGAGCGACTCACACTTCAGACGTACCTGGACAACCTGGAAGCAGAACAAGATGTCACGGGCGGTTTTCGTGGGGACCGAGCCTTCGCTTCAGCAACAGATGAAGCTGACTGGGACGAACAGAACGTGGATGGAGCTTTGGAGGAAGCTGGACCTCTTCCGTACTGCTCAGTGGACATTCCCATGGACGACGACAACCCTCGCGAAAGTGTCAACGCCGAAGTCTACTACGACTTTGCCGACAACGGTTACGTTACACCCCAACCGGTCGACACCAACGTCTCCGAACGCATAGGGCCCAACTTCTTACCTGATACAGAAGCGGCAGATGAAGAAACTTATCCCGAGGACGCAAATCTCCCCTGCTACACACAGAGTGGGCTGCAGATACTGGGACTCGTCACCGCCGTCCACAGAGCAGCGCCACCGAAGGAGCCTGCCACGATTCAACAGGCTATGGGGGGGGAGCATAAGGAAAAATGGCGCGAAGCCATGGTCAGGGAACTGAAGGCGTTAGAAGAGAGAAACACCAGGAAAATAGTGCCTATTGGAGTGGCACGCAACAAAACTGTTCTCACGGGAAAATGGGTCTTCCGCGTGAAGACAAAAGCTGACAGAACGATCGATAAGTTTAAGGCGCGCTGGGTCGTACGCGGCTTTGATCAAGAGCACGGACGAGACTTCACCGAAACCTTTGCGCCAGTTAGCCGACACACCTCACTGCGGATTTTCCTCGCGATAGCCGCCATGAAGCGGAAGAAGCTCTGCCAAATCGACGTCGCCAACGCCTTTCTGTATGCTCCCGTCGACGCTGAGATATTTGTCGAACAACCACACGGATCTAACGCAGACCCCAATCAAGTCTGTCAGCTGCTAAAATCACTGTACGACATCAAGCATTCCCCGAGACTGTGGCAACAGTACCTTCACGCCCGACTAATCCGCATCGGATTCTGCCAACTACCGCATGACCAAGGAATGTATCGACTCACTAAAGGGACCGACTACATCCTGCTCATCGTCTACGTAGACAACCTACTCTACATAGGCTCTACTGACGGCATAACAACTTGGTTTGAAGGGGAGTTACAGCGGGACCTCATGCTCACCGTCTCGTCTCCCGGGACACAGTACCCGGGACACAGTACCCGGAACATACAAGACGGGGAAAACGCAATCTACCTCAGCGCCGCAAAATACGCCGACACCATCGCCAAACGATTCGGACTAACTCCAGCTACCATCACCACGCCATATCGTTACACCGACGGAAATCGCAAGGAAGCCTCCGCCCTACTCAAACCCCCCGGCATTCGCGACTAGCAACGAAAGCTAGGTTGTCTACTCTTCGCAGCCATTACCTGCCGACCGGACCTATCTTACTCAGCTAGTCAACTCGCCACCAATCTCAAGAAGCCTGAAGCAGATCACATGGTGGAGCTCGACCGTGCACTTCACTACCTCGTCAGCACCCCGACGATCGGCCTAACCTACCACAAGACCGGAACTACGATGCCCAAGCTAATCGGTTATGTGGATGCTGACCACGCCGGCGACCCCGACAACAGGCGATCGCGCACCGGCTACATCTACCGACTCGAAACTATCGGCCCCATCTCGTGGCAGTCGAACAAGCAAGAGCTAATTGCTCTCTCCTCAGCTAAAGCAGAATATATTGCACTCTGCTCAGCCACCAAGGAAGGATTGTACCTTCGCGAACTACTAGAAGAAGCGAAGCTGGCTAAGTTACCCAGCTTCTCCCTGTTCTGCGACAACCAATCGGCCATTCGCATAGCGAACAAGAACGGGTTCGCAAATCGAACGAAGTACATCGCCCTTCGGTACTTCTTCGTAAAAGCGAAATCGAGAAGAGGAGACTTGAGCTATCCTACTGTCCCACATCCGAGATGGCAGCCGATTACTTGGCCAAGAAACTCGAAAAGCAGAAGTTCGAGTATTGCATGCTGCTGACTGGACAAGGCCACGTCATCAGCAACAACACTCCAGAAGCGAAGGGGAGTGTTGGAAACAAGCAATTTAACGCTCCTGTTGTGTCGAAACAATAGACTACAAACGAGGCGAATCACAGCGGAGCAACGGCGAGTCAACCGAGGAGGTTGACAGAAAGTAACAGCTGGAGGTTACGCGAAGGTCAAAGGTCAGCGCCCTTCGACTCGATAAAATACAGTGCGACAGAAAGGACAAACAACTGACTCGGTATTGAGCAGTTGCCCGAGTCGTCACTGTATCGAACCGCAATAGCAAAACAGTTAGTTGCACCTTTTCGTATTCCTTGGAATCTTATAAAAGCCTCCGTGTTATAATCAATATCTTGCTCTCACACACTAGTGCAAGTTGGTTCAACAAGTTCACTAAGAACGCTTCCGCAATTACAACATTCCTACTCAGGGTCTTAGCCTTGGAAAGATCCTAAGGGATTTCATCAGCCCAACAACATCAATACCGTACCAGCGTGGTTGCAACATAGAAAATATGTTTGACTTCAGTTTATACCATTCAACATGAGGTATTGCGGTACTCGTACCAGAGAAAAACGGTGTCCTACATATGATGTTAAGCACCAGAAAATAAGACATGTACGGTGGGTTTGTAGATGCCTGTTGGATGATTGCAGCATTACGAGACCTGATGCAACACAGACAAACGCACTAGAGCAGACACAACCATCAGCTGTGCCGTCTATTTTTTTTGTTTAGGAAATGAGCGGCGAGTCAAAGGTGGCGAGTGGGAAGAGACAGCAGTGGAACGAATGAATGCTACCCTTGAAAGCGAGTGGAGAAAAGGACGGGAAACTGGCAGGGAACAGAGAAAGCAAGCAGTATTAAGCTCACAATTAGTACAGATCAAGCAATTAGTGTTAAATACTGAACTCACCTGAAGAGAGGGGCAGGCAAGCAGTGCTGGCATACCTGCAGAGGAGTAATGCGTGGGTGAGCAAGGTCGAAGTGATGAATTTCATGCCTGCCAACTGACATGCCGTGGTCAGATGCACCAAACTGAGGGGAGCAAAGAGGAGCATGGAACAGAAAAATTCTGGTTAAAGCACAGTGCCGCAGTGGGGTGCAGTGATGGTCTGTCCCTGGGCCAGCGGGATTGCATGGCTGCACCTCCATCCGAGAGGCCGTGGAGGTAACCAAGCAAAAGAACGAGGGAGGGATGCAGTGTTGAAACAACTTAACGAGAATGATTGGATTGAGCAGAAAGTTAGGTACAAGTACTAACCCTAATTGGGTCGTACCCCTTATGGGCTACCCCATTATAGCCTACACAATATAAGCACTATATAAGTTTGACACACCCCCATAGGCAAAGTGGGGGAGAACAAGTGGTCACAAGACCAGTCAAGAAAAGCAAAGCAAGCTCAGGGTGGATCACGAAGTCACCACACATTCCGAGCACAAGCAAATGGCCACAAGGCCAGTTCACATGCAGAGTTATATAAAAGAGAACAAACAATATAGTGATCATACCCTAGCAAGAGTAAGCATGCAGGTATATATAAGATCACGGTACAAGAAAGTCACGAAGTGAGCAAGTGAGGCAAAGTAGGCACAAGGCTTAAAACAGTACAGAAACGCTGATGATCACCAAACTGAAGTGCCTTGGTGAATATATCAGCAGTGTTGGCCCTAGTGGCCACGTAAGCAAGACGAAGCTGACCACGCTGCTGCAAGTCTCGAGCAAGGAAATAACGCAGAGCGATGTGCTTCGTTTTGTGCTCCAGTCTGTGCTCCTGACACAAGGCAATGATGGCCTTGTTGTCTACGTACAGAATTGGAGAATAATTAGGCCGCAACAGGACAGCCGTGACCAGTGACCATCTCACTATCCTTGGCGTTCAGACTCACTCGGGATAGATCGTTGGTGGAGAACAGAATCTTGAGGGATTTCTCCAGCAGCTTGCTCACAGCAGGACACCCGTCCCGCCTGACCGTCTCAATCCCCTTGGCGTCAAACACAGGGGGACACGTGGCAGCAGGGGATTCGTACGCGAGGCCCACGTATCGCTTCTTGGCCTGCAGCACACAAGGGTGGTACACCTTCTCTAGCTTGAGAGCCACCGGGGTCGGGGAGAGCGCGGTTACCGCTGTAACGATCTCATTGCCGATCGTGAATGCCTGGTCTCTGGTTCTTCCTTCCAGTAAAACGAACATGCTGCAGAGAGGGAGTGGAAGGGGTGGGGCAGGAGCAGGAGAATAGTTCCCTCAAGGACTGTAAGAATCCCCACGTATCGCTTCTTGGTCTGCAGCACACAGGGGTGGTACACCTTCTCTAGCTTGAGCGCACCGGGGCCGAAGAGAGTGCGGTTACCGCTGCCACGATCTCATTGCCAATCGTGAATGCCTGCTCTCTGGTTCTTCCTTCCATAGGACGAACACGCTGCAGTGAGGGAGGGAGGAGAGGGGAAGGAGTGGGGCACGAGCAGGAGAAGAGTTCTCTCAACGACAGCAAGGAGCCCCACACGTATCACTTCTTGGTCTGCAGCACACAGGGGTGGTACACCTTCTCTAGCTTCAAAGCCACCGGGGCCGGAGAGAGTGCGGTTACCGCTGCCACGATGTCATTGCCGACCGTGAAGGCCTGGTCTCGTGTGCGACCTTCCAGCAGGACGAACATGCTGCAGGGTGGGAGCGAGGGAGGGAGAAGCGAGGGGAGGGGATAAGGGAGAGGAGTCGGGGATACAGAAGCGGAGGAGGAAGGAGGACGGGAGGATAAACCAAGCAAACAGGAGCAGGAGACGCAACAGAAGAAGCCCACAGCACTAACCACCCACCTGTCGGTGTCGCCACCCACCTGTCGGTGTCGCCACCCACCTGTCGGTGTCGCCACCCACCTGTCAGTGTCGCCACCCACCTGTCAGTGTTGCCACCCACCTGTCAGTGTCGCCACCCACCTGTCGGTGTCGCCACCCACCTGTCGGTGTCGCCACCCACCTGTCAGTGTCGCCACCCACCTGTCAGTGTCGCCACCCACCTGTCAGTGTCGCCACCCACCTGTCAGTGTCGCCACCCACCTGTCAGTGTCGCCACCTACCTGTCGGTGTCGCCACCCACCTGTCGGTGTCGCCACCCACCTGTCGGTGTCGCCACCCACCTGTCAGTGTCGCCACCCACCTGTCGGTGTCGCCACCCACCTGTCAGTGTCGCCACCCACCTGTCGGTGTCGCCACCCACCTGTCGGTGTCGCCACCCACCTGTCAGTGTCGCCACCCACCTGAACTAACGAGCCATGATTTGGCACTCCGCTGGTTCGGACGGCTGACAGTGCGACAGGTGTCGGCGCGGATCCGGAACCGGGGAGTTCACAACCTCAACTCTAAAATCTTGTCTTCGGATGAGAAGAAAGGGCTTGGGTTGGGTTTGAAGTTCATTCCAACACATGCCGCTTCCCTTTCTGGCGATGTGGAGCTTGACATGCTTCTGCGCCAGATTTCGCTTCATTTTTTCTTCAAGGATTCGGGAGGTTTGAAGGGAAACCAGAGATTTCGTGTACGGAACCCCGGATGGCTGCCCGATCGGATTGACATTCCGGAGCAGGTCTTCAGGGACTCGTCGGCTGACCTGTCCGTCCTGCTGAAGGCTGCTCGCCCCATTCGTCACCGAAACATTTCGAGCGATGTTCGACGGGGTTGCGCTCCATTGCTACGGATCGAAACGTGGTAGTGAAACCTGCTGACAAGAACGTGGGGATAACCGTGATGGACCGGAGCACCTACACCCGCCTCTGTCTTGATCATCTAGATGATGCGGCCACCTACGCCCCGTGTTTCCACAATCCCACCGTCGAAGTCGTGCAGAGACTGCGTGATCTGAAAAGTGCATGGGGACCTGCTTTTCCAGAGAGTCTGTGGAGATTTTTCTTTGACAAACCTCGCGGAGGTTGGCGACCAGCAGCGTTCTACATCCTTCCGAAACTACATAAGAAGAAACTCGCGGGGCGGCCCATAGCTTCTTCACATTCATGGGTGACTTCTAATGTTAGCCGATGGTTGGATGCGGAGCTACGGCCGATGGTTCTGAAACAAGCGACTTACCTACGCGACTCCCTTTCGTTGCTGCTCATGCTAGAGAAAACTGCTTTTCCTAAAGGAATTCTTCTGGCTACGTACGATGTGACTTCGCTGTACCCCAGCATCCCACTACGGCGAGGACTCGATGCGATCAGCGGCTTACTTCATCGAGGGAGACAACCAAATGCTCTTCCAGTCATGGCCCTGCTGGAGTGGGTCATGATGAACTCCTACGTGGAGTTCGACAGCCGAATTTTTCGCCAAACGCAAGGGACTGCCATGGGAACTCCCGCGGCTGTCTGCTTTGCTGTGCTTTTTATGAGCTGGCTGGACGAGATGCTGACAAGGAGGTGGTCTGGGACGATCCCGTTATGCCACGTACGCTACATCGACGATGGGCTGATCATTTGGCCCGGATCAAGGGCGGAGTTGGAGGAGTACCTGGACACTTTCAACTCGCTTGACCCCAATATCAAGCTCACGTGGCAGATCTCAGACAGTTCGGCTGATTTTCTCGACTTGGTCATCTTCAAGGCACCACGGTTCGCCGAACGGGGTACCCTGGATCTGAAAACTTTTCAGAAACCTCTGAATCGGTACCTGTACCTGCCTTTTTCCTCATTCCACCCCCGACACTGCAAGACGGGTTTTGTAAGGGCTGAACTGAAGCGGTACCTTTTGCGCTCGACATCTGCCCCAACCTTTCTAGCTTCTAAGCGCGCTTTCTTCCAGCGACTTAGAGATCGGGGTTACCCTGCTGACTTTCTCACACCCATTTTCCACAGTGTTCTCTTCAGGCAACGCTCGCTCCTTCTGGAGCAAACCGAAGCTCGCCAAGCACACCGACTTTCTTCCCCCCCCGAACGCGGCCCCCTGGTCTTGAAGACACTGTTCACTCCGGTGACAGCCAGTCTCAGGCTGGGGGTCCTTTTGAGGCGCCTAAAAAATCGTCTCAGTTCACGCGGTTTTTATATGGGGAATGTTTACATTGCATGGAGGTGTGCACGTAACTTGCAAAAGTTACTCGTGCGAGCGAAGGTTCCAAGGCTTATCGATAGCCCTGACGAAGACACCACGGAAGGCTGACACTTGTAACCTTGGGTTTTTGCCCAGTGCTGTGTTGGCGAATTCCCATTGTTAGGCAATCTGGGTAGATGGGAACCTTGAAATCTGTTCGCGGTGTAGGTTGATTACTTAGCCTATGCCTAGCTGTTGGATCTCTTTGTGTTCAGAAGCACTGATGAAGGCTTGATGGGTTCTCCCGCCTTGCCGAAACATGTTTGCGACCTGTTCTGATTGAGTGAATTCGGTTTTTGCGATCAGTTTTCTTTCAACTAGGGAATTTTTTACTCTCTTTCTTACTTGCTAAAACGTTTCACTAGCGCTGCTTCCCTTCCACCATGAGCGACAACCACCCACCTGTCAGTGTCGCCACCCACCTGTCAGTATCGCCATACACCACCCGTGCATTCCACGATGGGTGGCTGTTCACCAACGCGATTGCCCTCTCCAGAGTTGTTCGCCCCGCCTGCACATGAGAAGCAAGAAATAAGAGGGATGGAGGGATAAGAAAGGGAGGGGAACTACGGTGTTGTTTTGACAGCAGTTCAACCACAGTAGGGGCGTGTTAATGAGATCACTTTTGAGAATACTCACAAGTGGCCACAGTGAGTACGCGTGGACTTTTGAGTCGACTCAAAAAGGAATGTGGCTCCTATTTTCAGCAACGACCCAGTTTTCGGAGCCTTGACATCTGCCAGCTCAGCCTGACATGGATGATCCTATCTGCCCCTCAGCCTGACCTGTACAATGCTGTCAGCCAGCTCAGCCATGGGCATGCGGCCAGAGAACGAGGCTGCGGTGTACCCGTAAGTAACGTTGGCGATGAGCTTGAGAGCAAACTGCCGTGCGTTCAGCACGCGGTGCAGCACTCGGGTGTGTTTACTCCCTGGTTGGAGCTTTTTCATCGCCTTCTTCACCATCACTCGGGTCGCTAAGATCTCCTTCAGCAGCCGTGGTAACACGCCTGGGCGCACCTAGGAAGCCGGGAGAGTGTACACAGAGGAAGATTTTTCATCACCTTCTTCACCATCACTCTTGTCGCTAAGATTTCCTTCAATAGCCGTGGCAGCACACCAGGGCGCACCTGGTGTGCATGTAGGTGCGTAGTGGGGGAGGGAGGGGTGGGGTGGAGGAAGAAAATCAGCATCAGGTACACAAGACAAGACAAGACACAGTGAAGCACACATATGGAAAAGATTCACATTATGCAGAGAGCACACATCTAAGTCCTGTGAAAAAGGATGCCTCACCTGGGGCGGCACATACATCACTACGTTGGGCAGCAGCAGCAGGTCTAGTTTTGAGGTGCCTCAAAACTAGACTTCTCTCACGCGGATTATATGTAGATAGGATTTTTGTTGCTTGGAAATTGGGGTGTAGCTTATCAAGGCTACTGCTGCGCGCGCGACTCTCGAGTTTGCAAAGGGGAGAAGATTTTTGAGACGTCTCAAAAGAAGTGGAGAAGATTTTTGAGACGTCTCAAAAGAAGTGGAGAAGTTGCAGGCCCTGTTACTCACGAAGACACTGCCGAGGAATGAAGACGTGGCTCCTTGGAATTTCCAGGGCAGCCTGGATTGGTCCCCATCTTTTTGGGTTGACCAGGGTGAAGATAGCCTAGGGATTTGTACATTCGGTGGTTAGCCTTTCTTGCTTTGCTTTAGAAGGCTAGGCCCCGCTCTCATTCTTTCATTCGGCACTGATGAAGGCTTGCTCGGGGTTTCCCTACAGCCGAAACATGTTTGTCCGTGTTTTAGCCACTGCATAGTGAAGAGCTTCGTTTTTACAGAACCCTGCGTGAATCAGCTAGGATTTTATTACAACTGTTTTCTCCTTTGCTAAACCTTCTCCCTTAAACTGCTGCTCGCTGGAATGTCTCTTAATCAGCAGCAGGTCGTCCTTCAATGATGACACGCTCCCCCCACCACTGCCTCTCACTCTCGCCACCAGGGGACGCTTCCTGAGGCACGCCTGTAGCTGGGAAGGCATAGCCTTATCTCACCTTGGGCGCCACATACACGTGTAGTGAGTCGATTTTAGTGGCATAATGGACTCACCTTGGGCGGCACATACATCCCTGCGTTGGGCAGCAGCAGCAGGTCGCCCTTCAAATGACGACACGCTCCCCCCACCACTGCCTCTCATCTCACCCTCGCCCCCAGGGGACATAACATGCAGTCAGTTAGGGAATAATGGACTCACCTTGGGCGGCACATACATCCCTGCGTTGGGCAGCAGCAGCAGGTCGTCCTTCAAATGACAACACGCTCCCCCCACCACTGCCTCTCATCTCACCCTCGCCCCCAGGGGACATAACATGCAGTCAGTTAGGGAATAATGGACTCACCTTGGGCGGCACACACATCCCTGCGTTGGGCAGCAGCAGCAGGTCGTCCTTCAAATGACGATTCGCCCCCCCCCTCACCCCCACCACTGCCTCTCACTCTTGCCACCAGGAGACGCTTTTTGAGGCGCGACTGTAGCACTGCATAGCCTTGACTCACCTTGGGTGGGACGTACATCACTGCGTTGGGCAGCAGCAGCAGGTCGTCCTTCAATGACGACACGACACCTGGCGGCACGCGATAGGTCGTCACGCCCAGCGGCCTCTCCTCCTCCCCCCACCACTGCCTCTCCCCCTCGCCACCCTGATAAAGGTTGCCTCCAAGGGACGCTTTCTGAGCCGCTGCTGCTGCTGCAGTGGCAGTGGCAGAGGCAGCAGCACTATTGGCAGCAGCAGTGGCAGCAGTTGAAACACCATCACCGGCAGAAGGCACACCATCAGCAGCAGGAGCAACAGGAGCAGCAGCAGAATCAGCAGCAGCGGCACCACCACCACTAGCAGCAGCAGCAGCAGCAGAGGAGGAGGGGGTCGGGATGCGGCCAAGGCAGGAGGAGAAGCAGAGGTTGTGTGCGATGAGCATGGAGGGGTAGAGTGACTGAAAGTCAAGCACCACCACGGGGCTGGTGTAGTAGCGACACTCTGGCTCCATCACTAGGGGGATGCATGCAGGGGCCGGCTGGGTAGATACCTGGGAGGAAGAGTTGACAGGAGGGATGGAGAAGAGAAGCGAGGGAGGACAGAAAGCAGAGAATGGGGCTGGGGTAGTAGCGACACTCTGGCTTCATCACCAGAGGGATGCACGCTGGACGGGCTGGGAGGATACCTGGGAGGGAGGTGGTGTGGTGGAGGAGTGGACAGGAAGTAAGCAGAGGCTGCATGAAGGGGGAAAGAGAGACAGAGGCATGCATGGATAGAGAAAGCACCACCACGGGGCTGGTGTAGTAGCGACACTCTGGCTCCATCACGAGAGGGATGCATGCTGGGGCCGGCTGGGTAGACACGTGCACAAGGGAGGTGATGTGAGGGAGGAGTAGGCAGGATGTTCAGCAGAGGAGGCATGGATGGATAGAGAAAGCACCACCACGGGGCTGGTGTAGTAGCGACACTCCGGCTCCATCACCAGCGGAATGCATGCAGGGGCGGGCTGGGTAGACAGCTGGGAGGTGAAACAAGGAGGAGGTAGTTCTGGGAGTGTGCGAGTCGCAGCATCATCCACAGCCACTATAGTAATATGGTTTACCAGACACACACAACACGCGGTTACCTGCATGCGTGAGGGTGAGATGAGGAGGTAGTTCTGGGAGTGTGCGAGTCGCAGCATCATTGACTCGACTCGGTACTGGGAGCCCCGTGACAACACCGAGAAGAAGTCGATTCCAAACACCCGCGCCAGCTCGGCTGTGCGATTGACCTGAGAGCGGCAAAGGGAGGAGAGGGCGAGAGATGGCAGTCCTGGGAGAGTGCGAGTTGCAACAACATGGATTCCACTCGGTACTGGGAGCCCCGTGACAACACCTAGAAGAAGTCGATTCCAAACACCCGCGCCAGCTCGGCTGTGCGATTGACCTGAGAGCGGCAAAGGGAGGAGAGGGCGAGAGATGGCAGTCCTGGGAGAGTGCGAGTTGCAACAACATGGATTCCACTCGGTACTGAGAGCCCCGTGACAACACCTAGAAGAAGTCGATTCCAAACACCCGCGCCAGCTCGGCTGTGCGATTGACCTGAGAGCGGCAAAGGGAGGAGAGGGCGAGAGATGGCAGTCCTGGGAGAGTGCGAGTTGCAACAACATGGATTCCACTCGGTACTGGGAGCCCCGTGACAACACCTAGAAGAAGTCGATTCCAAACACCCGCGCCAGCTCGGCTGTGCGATTGACCTGAGAGCGGCAAAGGGAGGAGAGGGCGAGAGATGGCAGTCCTGGGAGAGTGCGAGTTGCAACAACATGGATTCCACTCGGTACTGGGAGCCCCGTGACAACACCGAGAAGAAGTCGATTCCAAACACCCGCGCCAGCTCGGCTGTGCGATTCACCTTATAACGAGGATGGTTGTGGAGGGGCAACAGGGGGAAAGGATAGAGGGTGGGAAGAAAAAGGGAAGAGGATGGAGATAGGATAGCGAGGCAATGGATGATGTACATGACAGATTTTCTCCACGTGGCACCACTATAAACGTTCACGTCACTCACACACAACACCCACGTGGCAGGCACCACTCGAAAGGTTACATGTGGCAGCACTCACCACGTCCAGGTGTCGCATCATGTCAAGATTCAGCCGCGCTCTCGCGACAAAATTCTCAATGCACCTCCACCGCTGCACTCTCCCCACTGCCGCTGTCGCCGCTGCTGCTGCTGCTGCTCCCCCTCCCCTTCCTTCTCCTTCTGCTGCACCCACTGCTGCTGATGCTCCCCCTCCTCCACCTCCCCCTCCCCCTCCCCCTTCCCCTCCAGCCCTCCACCACCCAGTCAGCGTGCACCAATCATACTTCGCCACATGTCGCCTCAGCACAGCAAGCACAACCGCATGGAACGAGTAAACCGGCAATTTCACCTCAGCCCGCATCACCCGCCACAGGTTTATCATAATACGTCCTGCCACATGCAAGCCACTCCCATGCGTTTTCCCCCACTCGTCTGATACTATTGCATCGTCGTCCCCCCGCCCTCGGCCTCCCCCTCTCCTTCTCATCCACCTCTCCCTCTCCCCGTCACCTGTCGCGCCTTCTTGCCCTGCACCTCCTCCGCCAGTTCCCCCTCCTCGTTACCCTCCCTTCCCCAAGTTATTCAAGGGCCCCTGTCCTCCCCCAATCTGTCCACCACCTCTATTCAGTCTCTCATCCCCTTTCCCCGCTCCCCCTTCTCCCCTTCCCCCTCCGCCTCCCACTCCTCCCCCGGCTCCCCATCGTGTACCAGCTCCCCCACTTGCTCCCACTCCTGACGTGGCAGGGATGAGGAGACGCCACGTGGAAGGGTCATCTGCCAGCAAGGCAGGACCAGCACAAGCTTGCCTCCCTCTACTCCCCTGCGAATGTGCTTGCATATGCATATGCGTTTGGGCCTGCACCTGTGCACCATATGTGCTTGAATTCATCGGTACACATGCCTCCGCAGGCACAGCAGCTGCTGCACGTGCAGGGGGGAGGGCGAATCCTCCGAACTCATGGTGCCATGCGCTCATGTCTTGAGGTATGGGGACGGACTGGGAGGGGGAGAGTGGAAACGAGAGGATGGGGGGAGAAGAGTGGATGGGCGATAAGCCAACTGGCTGCTGCTGCTGTTGCTGCTGCGAGATATTTAAGCTGGTGTCAGGAGTGGCGGCATCAGGTGGAGTGGTGTCAGGAGTGGCGGCATCAGATAGAGCAGCGTCAGGAGGAGCAGTGGCAAGAGGAGGTGACACTGGCGACTGGGAAGGGCCCATCGGAGGGAAAGATGGGGAGAGGTGCCGCTGGGACTGCAAGGGGGTCGCGGAGATGTCCTGAGAGTCCAAGGGCAGTTCGGATGTGACTGCTGCATGCGGTGACTGTAACGGGATTGGCTGTGCTGGATGTGACTGTGGGGTGTGTGACTGTACTGGGTGTGACTGCACCGGCTGTGACTGCACCGGCTGTGACTGCACCAGAGCTGGTGGCACTGACGAGGCAGGTGCTTCAGGTGTGTCACACTTGAACGGCGCCCTTGCCTGCGCTACCCTCACATCATGCACAGGCGGCACTCTGGAGAGCGATTTGAGGAGGTTAAAGCCCAGGTGCTGCGCTCTCTCCGCCAGCCACCCCCAGGAGCCCCCCTGCACCTCCCACCCCAGTAGAATGTCCGGGTCATACTGCCTCACCACTGCTACCAGGCACTCTAACAAAGCAACTTCCGAGGACAATAAGTGGATGCGGCAGGACGAGAGGGCGTCGGGGTTCCTGAGGTGGAAAGACGGGGAAGGAATCGGAGCAGAAGACACAGGTTGGGTGAAGCACAGGTGCTGCGCTCTCTCCACCAGCCACCCCCAGGAGGCCCCTTGCACGTCCCACCCCAGCAGTATGTCCGGGTCGTACTCTCTTACTACCGCTACTACTCGCTCGAGAAGAGCGCTTTCTGATGATAGCAGGTGGATGCAGCAGGATGAGAGGGCGTCAGGGTTCCTGAGGAGAAGAAACAAACGGAAAAAAAAAAGCCAGACAAAAGGAAGCATGTTGAGCAATCCTCTCAAGAATCCTCAAGCCCCCACAAGAATCCTCGACGCACCTCCCAGGCTCCCAACCAATCACTATGTCAGGGTTGTGCTCTGCTCTCTCTCACTATATGGAGCTTCGCCAACAAACCTTCCACAGCTACGATGGCAAAACCTCTGCGAAGGAGGGGAGCCACTGTTGAGACCTCTCAAAAAGACTTACGGAATGAGGGGAGCACGCAGCACAAGTACCTGCGGGCAATGTCCAAAGGAGACTCGTCCAGGATCTGTTAGAAATAGTCAGTCAACACTTTGTACTATATTCTATATCGGTTAGGTTACTTTGTAGGTTGGGTGTAGATTTGTAATCCCAACCCTATCTGGTTGGGATTCCCTCGTAATCCTGCAAATCTGCCAACTCACCAATTGGAGATTTGCTAGGATTCCCATCCCATCCTTTCCCTAGCTTTGCTCAACCCAACCCTGTTTGTACTTAAGGCCTAGTGCCTTTCTTATCAAGCAATCAGTTCAGTTCCAATTCTATCATGGTATCGAGCTAGTAAATTCCGCTCACGCGGAATCCGATCCTTGGCGTCCCGATGGTTCTCTCCTTTTAGGCTATGCCTATTTCGGTTCCCGGCTCCTACGCTTAGCGTTTTTCAGAAACTTCACATCGTCGCTCCGGTCAAGCGCGCATTCGGCTTCCTTCATCGCGCATCTCGTTTTTCAACGGCGACATTCTCAGCTTTCGACTTCCTTCATCGTAAACTTCTGGTTTTTATATCTCCGTGGCAATTTTCGCATCTTCTTAACTTCGAACAGGTCCAGCGGCGCAGCGGAACAGGTTTTCAGCGGCGCAGCGGAACAGGTCCAGCGGCACAACGGAACAGGTTTTCAGCGGCGCAGCGGAACAGGTCCAGCGGCGCAGCGGAACAGGTTTTCAGCGGCGCAGCGGAACAGGTTCAGCGGCGCAGCGGAACAGGTTCAGCAGCGCAGCGGAACAGGTTCAGCGGCGCAGCAGAACAGGTTCAGCGGCGCAGCAGAGAAGCGGAACAGGGGCAGCAGCGAAGCAGAACAGGGGGCATTGGCGAAGCAGTACATCAGGGTATAGTACGGGCATTCTATTGCCAAAATCGCGTTTCGAACTTCCTCAATTTCCAAAATCACCCGAACTCCGCTCCGCTTCGCTCCGCTACGTATCGGAGACTTTAGCGCTGCGCTCCGCGCAAAATGGCAACTTCAACTTCCACTCTCGTCGGAAACCTCATCATCCTTAACCTCGCTCCCAACGGCACGAGCACCAATTTCGGGGAGTGGTGCTATGGAGTGGAGAAGCACCTCCTTAGCTCGGAGCTCAAGGGGATTTGCCTCAAGGACATCCTCCTCAATCGCGGCAAGGGGAAGATGCCTCTCCCTCCCGATCCTCTCGGCGAAGGCGCCACTGCCACAGCCAAGCTTGCTTTCGACGCTAAAACCACCAAGTATGAGACGGACTTCAGCCTCTGGGAGCAGGCGGATGCGGCAGTGATTAGGGTTTTCATCACCACCACCCCAGTCGAGTTAGTCAAGTCCTACCGCACCTTCCGCTCTGCGCATGACATTTGGAAGTACCTCCAGGATCGCTTTCATGACAAAACTGCCGTGGGAGTTGCAATCCTCATTCCTCGCATGTTCCAAATCCGCCTTGAGGAATGCCCGGGCATGGCAGACTACATCTCTGAAATCCGCAACATCCATGAGGAGCTCAAGGACATTGGGATCACCTTCCCCGAACAGGCACCTGCTGCTGGGCTTCTCGTCGGACTCACCCCGGCCTACAACGTCACCAGTTCCATGCTCAAGCAGCTCCCCACCAAGGAACTCACCTTCGAGAAAGTCGCTTCGGCCCTTCTCTCTGCCGAAAAGGACCTTGCAGCCCAGGCATCCGTCAATGCTGTGCGCTACTCCCCTGGCATCCCATTTCGTTCCCAGCAGGGCCAGAGGCGCAACTCCTTTCCCCCATGCCAGTACCTCATTAGGAAGGGTCCACGTGCGGGGCAGAAATGCAACGGCACCAACCACCCTGAGGCAACTTGCTTCAAGAAGCGAGATGACGAGTGGTATGACGTCCACGGTGTCTCCAAGGACAAGCGCCCTCCCAACTGGGCACCACCCCGTCGCGTGAACCAGGTCGAGGCAGTGGAGGAACCTGCTCAGGTATTTGCTAGTGCCCCATCTGATGTTCGCCTTAACCTGTTGTTCTCTGGTGCTGGTCTTCTTAATGAGAAGGGGTCGCAGTACATCGGTGTTTCAACCACACAGGGAATTGAGTTCATACTAGACAGTGGTGCCACCCACACAATGCTTAAAGACCAAACTGCCTTCGTTCCCTACCAGGCTCCCACCTCACTCCTTGGAGCCGATTCTAGCTTCTCCATCCAATGCCATGGGTCCTCCACAGTTTCCTGTCCAGCTTTCCCATCCGGCACAGTCACTGGCATCTGTGCCCCTACCCTCCGCTACAACCTTCTTGCACAGCGGGAAATCCAACACGCAGGCGTGATCACCATCTTTCCCAATGATGTTGACTACTGTGACATGTTTGACGCCAAAACCGGACTCCATCTTGCCCGCTTTACCCTCAACTCCAACAACCTGTACACACTAGTTGTACCTCCCGTTCAAACATGCTCCCTCACCAACCTTCCGCTTCCATCCTTAGACTCCCCCTCATGTCACTGCCGCCTCCTCAATGACAAGACTATGCTATTTCATAACCGCCTCGGCCACATCAACTTCCGCGCACTTTCAGACCTTGCCACCAAACAACTCCTTCATGGGCTGCCCGCCTCACTTCCACAACCCCCCTCTCTTTCTGGACCACCTTGCCTTGACTGTGCACAGAGCAAGCTTTGGGAACAGCCCCATCCTCCCACTGAGTCCACCTCTACCGCACCTCTTGATCGCGTACACATGGACCTTTGGGGTCCAGCTCCTGTTCGTTCCCGTGGCGGACACTTCTACTTCCTTGTCATCGTTGATGACTATTTCCGCTATGTGTCCGTTCACCTTCTCACCGCCAAGTCTGAAGCCCCAGCCATTATCATGGAATGGGCAAGGCAGGCTCATTCACACTTCAAAACCAAAATCAAGATTCTTCACTCTGACGGTGGCGGTGAATTCCGCAACAACACTCTCAAAGCTTTCTGCTCTACTGAGGGTATTCGTCAGACCTTCACCCTCCCAGACAGCCCTCAACAGAACGGTGTTGTTGAGAGCCGAAACCGCATCCTGGTGCAGATTGCTCGCTGCCTCCTCACTCATGCTTCCGCCCCTCCCTCTCTTTGGGGATACGCCATGCTCCATGCTGCCGCCCTCCACAATCTCCATCCTCATCCTCACCACACCCACACCACCCCCGCAAAGCTGTGGACGGGTCAAAAGCAGTCCGTCCGCCCTCTTCGTGTATGGGGGTGCACTTCCTATGTTCTCCTCAACTCCCAAGCCCGTCGTGCAGCTGGCGGCAAGCTTGCTCCGAAAACAATCACGTGCGTGTACCTCGGGCACAACTCGGACTCGCCAGACTACCTCTTCCTCCAACCTACCACCAACAAACTTTATCGGAGCCGAGATGTTTTCTTCGATGAATCCCACCCGTTCTACCCCTCCTCCACAGTTTCTCCTTCTCCTCCGCCTCCTTCTCTTACTTGGGCTGACTTTGACAGCCTTCCTCCTGCCACCACTCCATCTCCTCCTCTTCCTGCTCCCTCCACAGTTTCCGACCCCCCGTCACCCGCTTCCCCTTCCAGCACCACGCAGTCTCCCCCGCTCCTTCCCGCCCCCGAGCCCATTCCTCTCAAAACCTACCAACGCCGTCCTCCTGCTGCTGCTCCTCCTCCTGATCCAGCTCCTCCTCCTGATCCAACTCCTGCTCCTGATCCAGCTGCTGTTCCTGATGCTGCCACTACACCTGCTGCTTCTCCCCCTCCAGCTCCGCCTCCCTCCCCCATCGCTGGTCGCACCCGCTCGCGCAAAGCTCCCAAGCCTCTTTCCCTTTCCATTCGTGTCTCTCTCAATCCTCCTCCTGTCGGGGGTGATTATTCGCTCATGCCCTCCCTTCTTGAGGACAGACATGAGGAGTTGATTGAGATTGACTCAGCCATACACGCACTCTGCTCCCTCTTTCCAGATATCGCAGAATCTCCCACCCTCGACTTCTCAGACAACCCCTCCATCCCCACACCTCTCATCTATGCTGAAGCAGTTTCTGGTCCTCACGCCGCTCAATGGCTAGGGGCCATTGTCGCAGAGTGTGAGGCCTTCATTCACACAGGAACTTTCACAGATGTCTCTCCTCCCTCCGGCGTCAACATTGTGAAGGGAAAATGGGTTTTCCGGGTGAAACAACTTCCAGGCGAATTTTCCGTCTTCAAAGCCCGGTACTGTGCCAAGGGATTTACCCAAAAGCATGGACTGGACTTCTTTGAGACATTCTCTCCCACCGCCAAACCTCCCACACTGCCTCCCACACTGCGCACCCTTCTCGATGTTGCCGCTCGAGATGACATGGAGGTTGACTGCATGGATGTGTCCTCTGCGTTTCTGCAAGGGATTCTTCGAGAGGAAATCTACATGGAGCGGCCCGAAGGATTTCCAGCTCCTTTTCCACCAGGCACTATATGGAAGCTGAATCGACCAGTCTATGACCTCAAGCAAGCACCCCGGGAATGGCACAACAAGCTCAAGAGCACCTTAGGGTCCCTCGACTTTCACCCATCCACCTCTGACCCCAGCCTCTTCATCCGAGCAACACCATCCCGCTTCTTCATCTTGGTTTATGTCGATGACATGATCCTTGTCACCAAGTATCAGACTGAGCTGGCAGCAATCAAAACCGCACTTGGTGAGAAACTGGCTATGAAGGATCTTGGGAAACTGACGAACTATCTGGGCATGGAAATCACACGTGATCGCACGGCCCGCACCATCACCCTCTCGCAGAAGTTCTACATCAACAACGTTCTGACCAGGTTTAAGATGCAGGAAGCAGCTTCAATGCCCACCCCACTCTCTCTGCAGCACCAACTCACTGCACCCTCTGTTCCCTCACCTGAGCCCTGTGATGAGGCTTACCCCGAGCTCGTCGGTTCCCTCATGTACGCGATGATGTGCACTCGACCAGATTTGGCCTATCCAGTCAGTGTCCTGTCTCGCTACGTTGCACCTGGTCGCTTCACGAGCCACCACTGGTCTGCCGCCAAGCGGGTCCTCCGCTATCTCAAAGGCACACAGGACTATGTGCTCACTCTTGGCGGCTCTTCCCCTGTTCGCCTTGAGGGGTATAGTGACTCGTCCTATGCTGATGACCAGAGTGATCGGCGCTCTTCCCAAGGATATTGCTTTACCCTTGGCAGTGGGGTTGTCAGTTGGCGCTCCACTCGGTCGTCTTCCGTCTCACTGTCGACCTGTGAGGCAGAGCTGTATGCCGGGACCATGGCTGCCCAAGAGGCCCGTTGGCTCTCCTTCTTGCTGGCAGAACTTGGGTATCCTCAACCAGCCCCAACGCTTTGGTGTGACAACGAGAGCACCATTCATCTCACAAAGGACCCCGTCTTCCACGGCCGCACCAAGCACATTGAGGTCCGTCACTACTTTCTTCGTGAGCTGGTGCAGCGCGAGCAGCTGAAGGCTGAACTAGGGATGAGCAAAATCCTGAACGCCTGTTCGGTTCGCCTCGAACATGTTCGAGGCGAACCGAACAGGCATTTATTTTTTTGCCAAATTGTTCGGTGCGAACATATTCGGTGTTCGGCCGAACATGTTCGCTGTTCGGCTCCGTCATCTGGGGCCCCCAAGTCGAACACGAACATGTTCGTGTTCGAAATGGGGGTGACGCGAACCCCAAATGTGTTCGCATCGAATTTGGCTGCGACCAGATTTAGGTTGCGGCCAATTCGAGGTTGAGCTCATTTCGTGAGCTCAACCTCAGAACGCTTTTACAGCCTAGCCTAGGGTTCCCTCTCACACCCGCCCTAGCCCTACAACTTGTAGCATACATGCAGTTACCACTACTAATATCCACGCACATTAGCTCTACGGTTTTCCTAGAGCCAAGTGTGTGTAGGGTGATTATAAGGTAGAGTAGCACCACGATCAGAGAGCGCGTTGTCAACTCCGTAGGGTTGGGGACGGGCATTTCAGAAAGCTATCCGTGCTCGAAAACGTTTAGGACCGTGGTTCTACTAGGCACGTGACCGTTGGTTCGGGGGGGGTTTAGGGTTTTAGGGCCGAGGGTGGACTTATGGCTTCCGGACATGGTAGATCCGTAGGGTTAGGTGCAGGCAGCACTCGGGGCGGCGCACCAGGTTCTCCACCACGACCTATGGAGGGGCGAGTAGGGGATGGACCTGGAGGAGCCGGCGCTTGCTTCATTGGGGGGTTTCTTTCCGTTGCGGCGCCGACATCTCGTCAGTCTTTCCGTTACGACGGCCCTCGACCCCCTCCTTCGGGGCAGACGCTGCCAGAGAGTGTCAGTGAGGAGGAGGATGAGGATGAGGCGGGTGAGGGCGAGGAGGGTGAGGAGAATGAGGGGAGCGGGGATGACAGTGAGGAGGGGTGGGATCCCGAGAAGCATGGTGGTGGGGAAGGGAGGGATGATGATGAGGATCATGAGATGGATGATTTAGAGCCAGAAGAGGTGCAGGAGGCGGTGGGGGAGGAGGTGGGAGAGGGGGGTGGAGTAGGGGCGGCGACAGAGGCGGGATCACAGCATGTGGCTGAAGGTGGAGGGAGCGTGGGGGTTAAGGTGGGGAGAAAGCCCGCGTCCTTGGCGGGTCCGAGGGTTAGGAAGAAGGCCAACAAAGTGAGGGAGCGGGCGTATCCCGCCACGTTCACTGGGGAGCCCTTGGGGGATGGTGTGATCGCTCCGGAGTTCCTAGACGAGGACGGAGGGTCAGAGAGTAGTAAGGGGACTGGCAAGGGGAGTAAGAAACCGGGGTGGCAAGTTATGATGTTCGGACCGAAAGGGGCAGACGAGAAGCGCCCGTGCAAAATTTGCACAGACAGGATTTCGTGGAAGCAATCCACAACCACACCCGGCGAGCGGCACTTCGCGAGCTTTCACACCGCGCACATGCACGTGTGGTTTCACCGTTACCACACGCCGTCCATTCAGTTGCCAGGGGAGACGTTTCCGCGTGGGGGCTACAAGGGTGTGCCGGATGGCTACGTCGAACGGTGGCCGCATGCCAAGACTTGGCCGCACCTGGCCAAGCAGAAAGGGAAGGCGTTTGGTGGAGGTCAGGGGTCAGGCGGGATCGAGCGGTTCATGACAACCAAGCTGACCTCTGTGGAGCTACGGCAGGCGATCGCCAAGCTCGTGGTCACCTGCGACCTCCCCTTCCGCATCGTCGAGGCCGAGGCTGTGAGTGCCCCATCCCAAGCATGATTGGCAGTATGTGGACAGTGGAAGTGTCTGGCCGTTGTGTTTTGATCATTAGCGTGTGGCCCTGCGCCATATTATGTCAAACCCATCCCCCATACGTTGACTCCCCTCACCCTCGGTGTCTTTACCCGTCACCAGTTTCGGGAGCTTTTGATCCTCCTAAACCGCAACTGCGCGCAGAAGAACTTCATCCCCTCGCGCTGGACGGTTTCCCGCGACACTGTGGTCTATGCAGCTGCCGCACTCCAGTCAGCCATTGCGGAGATGCTGGCGAAGGAGGGGGAGTTGGGGTGCAGGGTGTCGTTCACCATCGACATGTGGACGGCACCCAACAACAGGGCATGGCTAGTGGTGACTGGTCACTGGGTAGACGAGAACTTCCAGCTGCGCACAATGGTGTTTGAGTTCCGCGAGATTCACGGGCGGCACACGGGCAAGCAGATGGCGAGGGTGGTAGAGGAGACGGTGGTGCATTGGGGGTTGGAGGGGCGCTGTCTTGGTTTCACCTCAGACAACGCCTCTAGCAACGTTGCTGCATTCAGGTGGATGTCGGAGGAGGGAGGTGGTCAGTGCTTCTTCAACTCGCGCATGCACTTCCGGTAAGAATGGGAGTGTGCGTGGGCTGGCTATGTGGGAGTTTGGGTGTGTCGTTCCCGCGTGAACAACTTCTGGTTGTATGAGTGGGTGGGCCCTAGCGGTTTGAGTTGTAGGGTGTGTGGGGCTTGGTATGCGTTTGTGGCTCGCTATGCCCAGGTGTACTCACACTCCCCCTTCTCTCCGCCATTAATATTGTGTGCCGTGCGCAGGTGCTTGGCACACGTGATCAACCTTGCAGTGAAGGCAGCTCTCGCAGTGGCTGCCATCCGCAAGTTGTTGCGGATTCTGAGAGAGATGGCGTCGTGGATTGGCTTCTCTCCGCAGCGCTCAGGGAAGTTCTTGGGCCTTCAGCGGACCCTGAACGCGCAGGCCAACCCCGCCAAACCGAAGCCGGCGTTGAAGCTGGTGCAGGACAGTCCCACGCGCTGGGGGTCGACCCACGACATGGTCGAGCGAGCTGGGGTTCTGCAGGAACCCATCACTGTCTTCTTTGCCCAGACAAAGGTGTGTGTGACAGGTGTTGTGCATGCGGGCAGCAGTCTAATGTGTGGGTATGTCGTGGGGTGTTGAGTTCTATCACGTCCACCACTGTTGGCCATGCTTTATGTATGTTATCGGACCCCAACAACCTCAATAACCCTACTTTCCATCTTAACACCCGCCAACCCCTACCCTCTACCCGACAGGGACTGTCGAAGGCTGACAAGGCGAAGGTGGATAGCCTGCGCCTAACGGACGCAGACTGGGAGACTCTGCATGCTGTCAAGACGTTCCTCAGCCCATTCGCAAAAGTCTCAAAGGCGGCGGAGGGTGCGGCGTACCCTACAGTGGCGATGGTGCTGCCGTACTACAACGGCCTGATCGACGCTATGGAGTCGCGCCTTGCCAAGGGGCCATCGGCTACGCTGAAGCCGATGATTGAGGCAGCGCTGGGTCTCTTGAAGAAGTATGAACTGATGTCCAGCAACGAGTTGTGGATCGCCACCTTCCTGGAACCTTCCATGAAGGCGGCGTGGTTCGACGACCCGCACTGGGAGACGCTGCATCCCGAGACCGACCGGAGGGCGAGGCCGCGTCCCTCGTCAGGCGAGGTGATCCAGCTGGTACGCGACCGCGTGACCGAGTACCAGGCCCGGGCTGCAGCGCTTGCACCTCGGCCGACCCCACTTGCCACTGTGACGGAGGAGGAGGAGGGGGACGCGGCGGATGACGACGAAGACGCGCAGTTTCTCCCGAGTCGCCGACGACTAGCGGCGCATCTGTCAGCGAGCCAGGAGGCGGGGAGGGGTGGGATGGTGCAGGATGACGAGGTTAGCAAGTACTTATCAGAGAGGGTGCGGTGCGACGTGTCAGCGCTGGAGTATTGGCGCACCGCCACCAACATGCAGACGCTGAGGCGCATGGCCCGGGATTATCTCGCCATCCCTGCCACGTCCGCTTCGAGCGAGCGCGTGTTCTCCCTCGGCCGCAACCTCATTTCCTGGAAGCGGCACCGCCTGGCCTCTCAGAGGACGCGAGCTGTCATGATTCTCAAATCATGGTACAGTTCACACCCTGGACAGAGGATAGGCGAGGGCCGCCGTGCAAAGGGCGTCGCACCGCCAGAGTTCGCCATTGAAGGCGAGGGGGAGGAGGAGGACGACGAGGAGGAGGAGGAGGGGGAGGAGGAGTGGGAGGAGGAGCAGGAGGGGGTGGGTGCTGGCGACACCGCTGGCGGGGAGCAGGCTGTTGTTGGTAGTAGCAGTGGAGTTCAGTCGTAGGATTTTATTTGACATTGACTTGACTTTTACATTCACAGAACATGATGCCTTCGTATGCTTTTGTGCGTTGCATGAACACAGAGACACCCTCCACACCCCTATCTATCTACCCGACCCTCCAAATCCCATGTCTGACCACTGTGACTATAATGAAGTTCCCCCTGGGCGAACTCGAACATGTTCGAGGCGAACATGTTCGAGTTCGCCCTCAGAAACAAAATGTTCGCCCCCTGGGGCGAACGGCGAACACCTGCCGTAGGCCAATTAGTTCGCCGAACCGAACAGTGTTCGGTTCGGGAAATGGCCCTGTTCGAGGGGGGGCGAACCCGAACGTGTTCGAGTTCGCCCTCTGCTCATCCCTAGGCTGAACACATTGCCTTCGACTGCAACCTTGCTGACTTGTTTACCAAGTCTCTTGTTCGCCAAGACCACTACCGCCTCCTCTCGTCCATGGGTGTTGGGCCGCCATGTGGCTGAACTGTTGTCAGCCTAGGGGGTGTGTTAGAAATAGTCAGTCAACACTTTGTACTATATTCTAGGTTACTTTGTAGGTTGGGTGTAGATTTGTAATCCCAACCCTATCTGGTTGGGATTCCCTCGTAATCCTGCAAATCTGCCAACTCACCAATTGGAGATTTGCTAGGATTCCCATCCCATCCTTTCCCTAGCTTTGCTCAACCCAACCCTGTTTGTATTTAAGGCCTAGTGCCTTCCTTATCAAGCAATCAGTTCAGTTCCAATTCTATCAGGATCAACACATCCATCTGTGCCTTCCCTCCAACCAACGTGCCTCAGCCTCACTCAAGCTACCGCTCACTGCCGCTAGGAGTGCCAATAACAAAACCTCAAGATAGGGAACAGAAGGGAGGAGCACCACAAGTACCTGCAGGCAAAGTCCAAAGGAGACTCGTCCAGGATCAACACATCCACCTGTGCCTTCCCTCCAACCAACGTGCCTCAGCCCCGCTCAAGCTACCGCTCACTGCTGCTAGGAGCGCCAACAACAAAACCTCAAGAGAGGGAACAGAAGAGAGGAGCACAAGGATTAAGTACCTGCGGCAGATGTCCGAAGGGGTCTCCTCCAGGATCAACACATCCACCTGTGCCCTCCCTCCAACTCTCCTCAACCTGATTCGTCCCCTCCCTCTCCCGCCACCACTCCCTGCTGCCTCCCCTCTCCCACTCTCTTCCCTCCCCTCGCCCTCCTCCGCTTCCTCCGCCTCCTTCCCCTCCGTCTCCCCTTCACAGTACCCCTCCCCATCTACCTCCCCATCCCCCTCCCCCTGAGTGGCGAGAACGACACAGCACAGCGCGTCCAGTGCAGGGTCAGGCAGCAAGTCCCCTCTGGTGCACGCAAGCACCTCTGCACTCATGCTCACCACGTGCTCGCAGCAAGAGGACGAGGAGGGGGGAGAAGGGGAGGGGGAAAAGCAAGTTCTCTTCTTTTTCTCGCCTGTGTTTCTTCCTGTAGCTGCTGTAGCATCCTTCTCTGCCTCGCCTTTCACTCTACCTTCCTCACCCTCCGTCACTTCCCCTTTTTGCTTCTCCTCCCTCCTTTTCTCTACTCCAACTTCCCTTGTTCCCCTTTTTTCCGCCTCTCCCTCTGCATTCTCTCCACTTCTCTCACCTCCCCCTTCACTCGTTTCCTCTCTTCTCACTTTCGCTCCACTCCCCTTCTCAGCACTCCCCTTTCCACTCCCCTTCTTTCCACTCTTACTCTCCCTGAATCCTGATTGGCTGACCGGAGTGGCAGCCTGGGTTGCTGGGGTGAGCTGGGAGAAATCTCGCCACCTGGCAGCCCCTGATTGGCCGAGGGCATGCCCCTTCCAAATCCCAGGACCAGCTTCACCGAACGGCCTGAGCACACCTGAATTTCCACCTGGGATCCTGCTAGATTGGATATGATACGATTCTGGAGAAACAGGAGAGGTGGAGGACGGGGAGGGGGGCAAGGTGAAGGGAGAAAGGGGAGGGCGAAAACTCTGTGTGTGGGGGGGCGATTGGATGAGAGGGGGTGACTGGAGGAGAGTGGGTGAAGGGTGAGAGGGGTTCAGACCGGTGGTAGCAGGAGAAGGAGGTGTAGGGGGGGACTCTCCAATAGGGAGAGATGAATTCCCTATTGGTGACTGTCCAGAAACAGCACGCACAGAAGTAGCAGCAGCAGAAGCAGCGGTGGTGGTGGCAACAGCAGCAGCAGCAGCAGCAGCAGCAGCAGCAGCAGCAGCAGCAGCAGCAGCAGAAGCAGGGGTGGTGGTGGTGGGACTGGCAGCGGCCCCAGCGGTTGTGGACATGCGGAGGAGAGAAGGGGGGATGCGAGGAGGAGGCATGGAGCTAAAGCTGACACGAGCACAAGACTGAGCAGGAGAATGGAAACGAGAATGATCGGCTGGTGACTTCAGAATCCCCTGGGATTCAAACGACACTGGGATCAGAGGTCCCTCCTTTCTTCCACTCTCCTTGTCGCCTGCTGCTGCTTCATCTCGGATTATTCTCCTCCTTCGTTCTGATTTGGGCTTTGACTTCGATCTTGATCCGTTGCTCCAGGGGGGGGATCTGAGGCGCGATTGTGACTGTATGGGGGGTGACAGCAGCTGCGTTGTAAGCACGTGCCCCTCAGTCCACTTCGGCGACGCAGGCCTTTCAAATATCTCTTCTTCTTCATCCTCCTCTTTGTCACCGTCACTACCCTCCTCTCTATCCTCGTTATCGCCATCCTCGTTACTGACCTCTCCCTCCTCGCCCTCCTCTCCCTCCTCTCCCTCCTCTTCGTCCTCCCCCTCCTCTTCCTCATCCCCCATCTCCTCAACCTCTCTCCTCCACCTCCCCACATCACTCCACGTCCCCCACCCAAACTCCCCCTCCCCCTCCTCCCCTCCGTCCCCCATCTCCCCACTCCTCCTCCTCCCCCCACCTCCTCTCCTCGCCTCCACACCCCGCCTACCCCCGTCCCTCCTGATTCCACCTCCCCCACAACCTACCTCCCTTTTCCTTGATTTCCCAACCACCAACCCTTTCCGAGACTCCCTACCTCCCCCCTCCAAGCCTATCACACCAGCCCCTCCCACAAGCAACTGGCCAGTGTTGGGATCGAGGGCAAAGTCTGCCCGCTGCTCGTCACTGGGTTGTGCTGCACTGCAAGCACCACCGTTAGTGGGTGCACCACCATCGATACCAGCACCACCGTTAGTGGGTGCACCACCATCGATACCAGTACCACCAGCACCACCGTTAGTGGGTGCACCACCATCGATACCAGTACCACCAGCACCACCGGCAGCACCTCTATCAGGTTCGGCATCAGCACTACCAGCTGACAGCGGTCTTTCCTCTTCCTCCTTACTTCCTTTCATGCTCGGGTCCCTCCTGTCCCCTCCTCTGCTTCTCAAGTAAGAAGCACGCTTATCCTTCCTCCTCTGCAGCAGCCCTTCTCTTATCGCCCAAACCTCTACCCGCCGCCGAGAGGGCGGCTGCTGAGCCGGCAAAGCCAGGTACGGGCTCCCCCTCCCGAGCCAGCCTAGGGGCAGGCCAGCGCACCGAAGCTGCTGCAGCTGCTGCAGTGGGCACTGCAACCGGCGCTGCAACTGCAGTACTGGTGCTACCGCCATTGAAGGGGCGAATGGGACAGATGGGTGCAGAGTGGTCTGGTGCGTCGAGGAAGCCGGGGAGGGAGGTGGAGGAAGGGGTGAGTGCGGCGAGAGTGAGGAAAGGTGTGGTTGTGTTGAAGGTGGAGTGGGAGCGAGGGCCGGAGGGGGCGAAGGGGAAGGAAGGGAGGTGAGCTTCGTGCGCTGAGAGGACTGCAGGACGGGCGGGTGAGAGGGGGGTACAGTGGGATAGATGGACAGAAAAGGGTAAAGAGAATAAGTAGGGATGACCGTTGAAATCCAAAACACATTGAAATTCAGACAACATGGTAAAAAACAAAAACCTGCATGGGATGCACACACACATACGGACCAGAAAACATGGTATGCAGCACAGCACACTGACAGCTTACCTGAACGCATGTATGTACATATCCACAGCAGACTCACTTTTGAAATCCTTCCCGCCAAAAACAGGATGCCTCTCTGGCACGTCCCTGACGTCACCGTAGTACACGTCAGGCCACTGCACACGTGGCAAGCCATGGGCCTGCCACGTGTCCCTCAGCTCCTGCAACGAGGGAGGCGCCCTGTGATACACCAACGGATCCACCAACCGTTCTTCTGTTGAATGTGAATGTAACAAGAGGCTCGATGCAGGCCTCCCTGTTAGCACTTGAGGAATGCGGCGGGATGGAAGGAAGGCGTTGGGAAGCTGAGAAGGGGAGGCAGCAGGAACAGGTGACAGTGGCGTGTGAGCTGGCTGGGGAGCCTGGGGAGTTAGAAGAGTCTGAGGTGTGTGAGGAGTCTGAAGAGTCTGAGGTGTGTGAGGAGTCTGAAGAGTCTGAGGTGTGTGAGGAGTCTGAAGAGTCTGAGGTGTGTGAGGAGTCTGAAGAGTCTGAGAAGGGTGAGGCGTTTGCTCAACCTGCTGTGGGGGGTGAGGCGTCTGAGGGATACTGCTTGGCACACAAGGTTCGACTGGAAGATCTGTGGGAAGACGAGTTGAAGGGTCAGTGGATAGCTCTGGAGAAACTGAATGGATTACAAGAATAGGTTCAGCAACGAAAGAGGGCGGTGGCAAAGGTGCAGCACAGATGGCCAGTTCTGTTTCAGCTGAAAACATCGCTGGGATGGGAAGCCCTGCAGCTGTACCTGGTACCTCTGCTGCAGGTGCTACAGGAACGCCAGAAGCCCTTACTTCGTCTGGCTTGCTGCTGCTGCCTGGCGCTGCAGTCGGCTCGTGACGCTCATCCTCTTGGCCTGAAGCAGCAGCAGCTGCTTCATCGAGAGGTGCAGCAGCAGCAGCAGCAGCAGCAGCAGCAGCAGCAGCAGTTGCAGCACGTTCAGCTGGCTCAAGAATCCCTTGGAACGACCCACAGCTCACGCCTTGGCTCATGTCTTGGCTCGGGCCTTCACCCTTGCCTTGGCTCAAGCCTTGGCTCGCGCCTTCACCCTTGCCTTGGCTCAAGCCCTGGCTCATGCCTTGGCTCATGCCTTGGCTCATGCCTTGGCTCATGCCTTGGCTCATGCCTTGGCTCATGCCTTGGCTCATGCCCTGGCTCATGCCTTGGCTCATGCCTTGGCTCATGCCTTGGCTCATGCCCTGGCTCATGCCTTGGCTCATGCCTTGGCTCATGCCTTGGCTCATGCCTTGGCTCATGCCTTGGCTCATGCCTTGGCTCATGCCTTGGCTCATGCCTTGGCTCAAGCCCTGGCTCATGCCTTGGCTCATGCCTTGACTCATGCCTTGGCTCAAGCCCTGGCTCATGCCTTGGCTCATGCCTTGGCTCATGCCTTGGCTCATGCCTTGGCTCATGCCCTGGCCTTTGGCAGGCAGCCATTCCTCCGAGCCCTCGCTGCTGCTGCCTCTACTGCATCTGCTGCCCTCTACACCGCCCCCTCGATTCACCCCTTGACACTCCTCTAGATGGTCGCTGCCCCCTCGACTAACCCCTCGACAATCCTCTAGATGGTCGCTGCCCCCTCGTCTTATTTCTTGACTGTTCTCCCCCTGACTGCCTCCTTCACTGCCCTCCACACCGCCTCCTCGAATCACCTCTCTACTGTGCACCCCTCCATTACCACTACCATCAGTCCTGCCTCCGCCCACCTGCTCCCCTCCTGTCTTCAATTCCTTCTGGCTACACACAGATTTATTCCTCTTCTCTAGGCTTGAACCACTCGCGAGGGTCGCAGTCACTCCAGGTCTCTGGGCTTCCATGTGAAGCCCTGGCACTGCCCTCGTGCCTGAAGTGGCCCTCACCAGTGGGCTCTGCTTGTGGCGCCTCCTTAGCGATCTCAGGTGCAGTCGGGTGGCTCGTGGGGTCATCACTATCTCGTCCTCCTCCTCCCCCTGCCCTGCCTTCTCCTCCTCCCCCTGCCCTGCCTTCTCCCCCTCCTCTCCCTGCTCTTCCTTCTCTCCCTGCTCCCCCTTCTCGTCCTGACCATTATCCTCACTAGCATCATCATCCTCGTTATTACCATCCTCACTATCGTCATTAGCGCCATCCGTCTGGTGCATCTGCCACGTCATCAAATCACCACGCACGAACTCGTTTATCCACTCCAAGGCCTCATCCTCTCCCTCCTCTCCGTCCCCCTTCTTTTCCTGCACTCTTGACCTCTCCCTTTGCTCCATTATCCCCATCCCTCCCTCCCCAACTTGTGGAAAATCTTCCTCTGCCTTACCCTCCCCACCAGCACCACCCACTGCTCCTTGCCCACACCCCTTACCCTCTCTTTTGCTTCTTCCTGACTCTTGAAGAATCGGACCCTGCCTATCCTCTCTCCCCTCCACTCCTTGTGCTTCCCTCTCTCCAACCTCCTCTCGTCGCCCCCCACCCTGCTGCATCCATTCTTCCCACTCTTCTCTCAAATCCTCCCCTCTCATTTCCTCCTCCCTCCCTTCCTCTTCATCTTCCTCCTCCTCCTCTTCCTCTGCCCCCCACTCCTCTCCCATCTCCCTCACACTCGCCAGAATCCCCTCACACTCCTCTGCAACAGACGCTTCATACGCCTCCCACGCTCGCTCCACTGCTGCCCGCCTCCTCTCTCCCTGAGAGCACCTCTGTGACCCACCCAAAGGAAACTGAGACCCAATTTGAATGAACTCCTGGGATCCACCTGTCGGGAGCTGAGACCCTAATCTTATGAACCCCCCCTGAGACCCAACTGCTGTGGGTACCTGTGACGCAGTCGCAATTCCCTGTGGTCCAACCGTTGGTTGGGCTTGTGCGTGTGCTTGTGCCTGCGCTTGTTCTTCTGCTTCTGCTCGTGCCTGCGCTTGTTCTTCTGCTTCTGCTTGTGCATATGCGTGTCCCTGTGCTGCCTCCCCTGCTGCTACATCTTCTCCCAGCAACAGCTGCTCATCATCGCTCGCACTATCACCCTCGGTGTTGTCACGCTGGCTATTGGCAACCCATCTCAAGAGATCCAAGGCCTCTTCCTCGTCCTCCTGAAATTGGCAAGGGTGAAGAGGGGTGACGAGGGGTGGAACAGGGTGTCATGCTGGCTATTGGCAAGCCATCTCAAGAGGTTCAAGACTTCTTCCTCGGCCTCCTGTAATTGGCAGGGGTGGGGAGGAGAGGGTTGGGGTTGAGGCGAGACGGGGGAGGAGAGGAAGATACAATCAAATCAGGGGAAAAGCCACCAGTTGCCTCTGCTGCTGTGGATTGGGACGCGTCAATACACGAGAAAAACGAGGCGACTTTTGACTCTCGACTCAGAACTTGCCTCTGCTGCTGTGAATTGAACCACGTCAACACACGAGCAAAACTCTGGGGGTGAAAAAAAAGGGGTTCACCTGCTGCATCTGTTCCTGCGACAGCTGTGTGACAACCACATGTTCATCCACTAGCGGCACCATTGCTTCACCACCATCACCCACATGCACATCAGAACCACCACAATTTGCATCAACATCGCCGCCCCTCCCTACAGCAGCATGCCCCCCCTCCTCCTCGTCTCCCTCCCTCGCCTCAGCAGCACCTTGAAACGACACTCTTCTCCTCCGCTTCCTCGCACTTTCCATCCCACCACCGCTCTCCACCCATCTGTCCCCACCATCCATGCCATCACGAGTATTTGTTCCTCCCATCCGAGCAGAACCCATGGTTCCCGCTGCTGTCTGTGCTGGAGATTGCAGGTTGGCGGGCTGGGAGCATGACAATAGAGGGCTCTCAGCAGCAACGAGGGCTCTCGAGGTTAAGCCCATGGTCCCCGCTGCTGCTGCTGCTGCTGCTGCAGGTGCTGCAGATTGCAGGTTGGCAGGCTGGGAGCACGACAATAGAGGCCTCTCAGGAGCAACAGCCGGCTGTCTGTGCTCTCCAGCGGCAGTCTGTGCTGGGGAGGGCAGATTTGCAGGCTGGGAACACGACAATATAGGGCTCTCAGCAACCAGTAGTGGTGACTGTAAAGAGGTTTCTGAGACCACAGGTGACTGAACTAAGGGGGCATTCCTATCTCTTGGAGATAATATCCTCTCCTTCTCAGGTAATGCACGCCGCCAACCCTCCTCTTTGACCTCTGCTGCTCCGCTGATCGTTTCTCGCTCCTCGTTTCGCCCCTCATCCATCTCTTGCCTTGCCTCACCTCCCATCTCTCCTCTCTCCTCTCCCCCTGCCTCCTCTCCCTCCTGCTGGGAAGAAAACAAACGACGAGTGGCAGGGGCCCTGTCTTGCTGCCCTTCCATCCACTCCTCACCTCCCTGTTCACAACTCTCGTTTCCCCTTCCCCTCCCCCTTCCCCTCTCCATTTCCCTTCCCCTTCCCACTCCCCTCCCCCTCCCCCTTCCCATGCCCATCGCCCGTCTCCTCCTCTCCTCCCTCTCGCGCAGCATGGCCTCTTCCTCCTCTGCCAGCTCGTATACCACTCTCCTAAGAGCCTTGTCCAAACCACCAAGGGGCGGCTCAGTCCTTTGAGTGGCAGGAGTGGCCGCAGCAGGAGGAGTTGCTGCAGTTTCTGCAGCATCTGCTGCTGCTTGTGCTGCTGCTTGTGCTGCTGCTTGTGCTGCTGTTTCTGGCGCTGTTTTTCCTCCGATTCCTGATGAACGCCCAGGAGTCTCCAGACTACTGCTCTTCCCTCCCTTCCCCTTCCTGCTGCTGGATCTACTGCCCTTTGCTTCGTCTTCTGCTTCAGCTGCTGTCCGCCGCCGCTCATCCTGCAAGAAAACAAGAAGTAGTCTCTCGCAGAAATCTAAAGAAGTAGGACAAGTCACGCAATTTCTGATTCCACAACGACATGTTCCCTTTTTGAGACGTCTCAAAAATCTACTTTCTACACGTGATTCCACAACGACATGTTCCCTTTTTGAGACGTCTCAAAAATCTACTTTCTACACGTGATTCCACAACGACGTGTTCCCTTTTTGAGACGTCTCAAAAATCTACTTTCTACACGTGATTCCACGACGACATGTTCCCTTTTTGAGACGTCTCAAAAATCTACTTTCTACACGTGATTCCACAACGACATGTTCCCTCGTTTCCCCATCAGTCACTAAGCTGTGGCAATGGCAAGAACCGATGGCATCTGGGAATCTCAATCATACCTCCCAGATTGGAAAAAAGTGGGCACATCTACCTAGCAACTGCGGAAACTCCTTGACGTTCTCCTTGACTTTGACTTACCAAAGTGGGGCACATCTCCCAGCAGAAGCAAACGAGAGTGGCAATGAAGCAAAACAGCTTTGGCCTGCTGCCCTCGCTCACATTTTCCCAACAAGCAACATACCTCCCATATGGGAGCGAGCGATGGCACCATCTGGATGTCATCCCCAGCCTCGTGGAGAGGCACTCGCAGATTTGAGCATGCATACATGCATGCACACTTGCTTGCTTGCTTGCTTGCTTGCAGAAAGGGGCGGGAGAAGAGCAATAAATCCCACATGAGATGAGAGCATACCTCCTAGATGGGGGCGAGCGAGGGCACCATTTGAATGTCATCCCCAGCCTCGTGGAGAGGCACTCGCAGGTTTGGGCATGCTTGCACAAACGAGGCAAGGAGGAGAAATACTTCCTACATGAGCGACATGCCTTCTAAATGACAGCATACCTCCCAGATGGGGGCGAGAGAGGGCACCATCTGAATGTTGTCCCCAGCCTCGTGGAGAGGCACCCGCAGAAGGTCATTCACGTTCAGTATGTCTGCATGCACACACGCACAACACACAAGGACATTCAGAGAGGCATGGGCAGGGCAGGGAAGTACGTGAGGGCATGGATGGGTAGGGCAAGGACCCTCCATGGATGGACAAAGGAACAGGGAAGGCAAGCAGCGCACTTTAAAATCCTAATACCGGTCGCCCACCATGTCACCCATTTCGTAGTGAGCAAAAAAGTACCGTAGTGTCAATTACAAGTCTAATAGGCAAAAGAGCACCCCTCGCCCTCCAGCCACTCAATTCCACAAGTAATCTTGTCATCCCTTCCTCCCCGTCCCCTTCATCCCGCAACCTGCAACCCCACCCCCTACTTCCATCCTCTTCCAAACAACCAACACGCACCCACCCACCTCCATCTCGCATGCTTTGTTCGCATGGGTCCGTCTGTTAGCCCAACCCTTCCGTCTTCCTAAGGCATCCCCTCACGCTGCTCTTGCCTCTCCCACCCACCTGACACGCACCCATCCGCCTCCAGCTCGCACACACTCTGCCGCCGCACACCATCCCTATGCAAGCCGATCCATTCACCCCCTTCATGCCTTGCAGATAAATTCTCCTCACACCATCTCCCCCTCTTCCTCCCTATGCTTCCCCTTGCCTCAAATGTGCATGCGTCCTCCTTCTCTCCAGCCCCCCACAAGCACCCTGGAGGGACGTTGCTTGCAAAATACACCCCTCGGATTCTCTTGGATTCCCCACAAGTATTCCCAGCAGCAGCGGCGGCAGCATTAGCAAGAGGAGCGGGAGAGGTGTGAGGAGGCGGATGGGTGGGAAGCGGTGGTCTGAAGAGGACTTGGGAGAGGCGGACGAGACCCATGCCCACGAGATTGTAGTCAATCTGATTCATGTGCCATGGGGTACGGGGCATGGGACATGGCGCATGGAGCATGGGTAATGGGGAATGGGGAATGGGGCATGGGGGATGGGACATGGGACATGGGGCATGGGGCATGGGGCATGGGGCATGGAGAATGGGTAATGGGGAATGGGGCATGGGGCATGAGAAATGGGGAATGGGGCATGGGGCATGGGTAATGGGGAGTGGGGCATGGAGCATGGGTAATGGGGAATAGGGCATGGTGCATGGGAGACACAAATGTTGAAGAAACGTTGGAGGAGAATTACTGTTTGCAAATCCGAAGACACTTACGACTGAAACATATTTTGTCACTATGCGGTTACAAATAAATGCATTAGAGCATGTACGGCACCTTGATTCGCCAGAGATACGGAATGTGGGACTCATATGGCTGGAACACCTGCCCCATCACTGAAAATCCACGTGTGATGAGATGCTTGATTAGGCGCCATACATACCGCACCTTGATTTGAAGGAGATACGGTATATGGGACTCGTATGGCTGGAACACTCGTCCCATCACTGCTCCTGACTGCACATGGACCAAGCAAGCAATGGGTAAATCATCCGAGCCAGCTTCTCCATTGGGGTGTGTGTGACACGTTCTGTGGGTGCCGCGAAGTGCAACTGGTGAATCATGTAGACAAGAAACGATAAATGTAGCATGGCCTATGCTGGAGTCTTCATGCACATACACACAAGTTTAACACACTCCGGTTAAGGCAACCACCCACCCAACACCCAACCACCCACCTGAAGGATGGATGCAGCACGGGTCACTTCATCCGGATAGAACCTGCATTCAGTGCAGAGCAGGGTGACATGGGGAACAGGGTGTGTGAACGAGGTGACTTTTGAGTCGACTCAAAAGGATGGATGCAGCACGGGTCACTTCATCCGGATAGAACCTGCGTTCAGTGCAGAGCAGGGTGGCATGGGAAACAGCTTGTGTGAACGCGGATATGCATGCACGGCATGGGGGTGCATGGATGGGGCATGCATGCCGTGCCAGCCATGCCATGCCATGCCATCCCATGAAGAGAGCATGAATGCACACATCACCACCTCACACCACATCACACTGCATCACACCGCACATCACCAACATCTCTAGCTTGATGAAGAGGCATTCATTTGGGTGGTAGCCGTAGAACGGCAAAGCTCGCACCAGAGAGCATGCAGGCACACATCACCACATCATACCACATCACCCACATCTCCAGCTTGATGAAGAGGGATTCGTTGGGGTGGTAACCGTAGAATGGAAGAGCTCGCACCAGAGAGCATGCATGCACATGCTGCTTCTTGCGTGCATAGGGGCTTGCAACCTGAGAGAATAGCGAGGAGGGGAAGGGAATTGTAAAGGCGACGATGACAAGTGAACACAACACTTGAGAAAATGGCAGAGCTTGCACCAGAGAGCATGCATGCGCGCATGCTGCTTCTTGCGTGAATAGGGGTTCGCAACCTGACGGAATAGAATGGTGGACGTGGGGGGGAGAATGGGGGGAAGGGGGAAACGACAGGGGAGGTCGCAAGGTGGACGTGGAGGGGAAAGAAAACCCAACACATTAACAATGGCAGAGCTGGCACTAGAGAACATGCATGCATGTGCTGTCGCTTGGGTGTGCATACAGGTTTGCAACCTGTGAAATCTGAAACGTGTTGAACGGAGGGAGGGGAACGAGATGACGCGAGTCACTCAAAACGCAAACAACCAGAGCAGCAGAACAACGAGAAAGTTGAAAAAAGGGTGGCGTATTAGATACCTTGAGCTCAAAAGAATACTTACGGATTAGAAACAATACTCAGAAGCTGTACCTTGAGTGGCTTTTGACAATAGAAAATACAATTTTTAGTTGTGGAATGAACTCTACACTCAAATGCTGTACCTTGAGTGCATACTCCAGTGCTGAAGCGAGCTGACGCATGAAGACTTGTGCTGGCGTGGAAATGAGGGGGGAAGGCGAAGCAGGGCGGGGAAGGGATGGGAGGGGAGGGGAAGAAGCAGGCAGGAGTAATTGTGATGTGACACATCATAAGGTTCAAGATTGGCCAACTCTGATATGAGAAGTTACTAGCGCTTGAAGAGTCAGCTGCCGTGAGGCATACCTTGAGCGATGTCTTGAGGCAGGCCGTCTTCATATGGCACGTAGAAGTACGGGAGAGCCTGCAGCAGAGGGTGGATGGTACAAAACGGTAAAAAACATTAACTTAGAAACAACCTAACCCAATCTCCCGGCACAGGTCGTCATCATATGGCACGTAGAAGTACGGGAGAGCCTGAAGAAAGTGGAGGATGGTTAAAGAAGAGGTATTGTTTTGGAAAAAATGAACAGGTGAAAGCTAGGAGCAAAATATACAGCTGGAAGTGCAATGGCTTCGAGTGCAGGCGTGATTTCTGCATCGTGGCGGCGGTCCACACTCCAAGGTAGCATCAGCTTGGAAAGAGCTTAAGTTATGGGGTGCATACCCCGTGCAAGTGCAGGCATGTTCGTTGCCCCATGGTGGTGGATCCAAAGATGCGCACAACTGGCACCTTATCCACTGCTCGCCCTGCCACGTGGCACACAGGGAAACTGAAAGCTGAAATCTGACACCAGTCTGCACAAAAGAAACTCAAAAGCCCTTATTGCACAACAATCTGTTGTCACCATGTGTGTGACCACCAGGCCAGTCAGATGTCACCGAATGTGCAACCAGGGGAGCCTGATGTCACCGAATGTGCAAGCAGGCCAGTCAAATGTCACCAGATGTGTGACCAGTACAATCTCATGCCCTTGCATGTGTGACCCGAGCGGTCTGACGTTACTGAATGTGGAATTGAGCAGTCTGATTTGATGTAACCTAATCTGCGACCAGAGCAGTCAGATGTCACCGAATGTGCAACCAGAACAGTCTAATGTAACCGAGTGCGTAAACAGGTCAGTCACTAAATATGCAACCAGGGCAGTCAGGTGTCATCTAACGTGTAGTCAGACCAGTTAGATGTCCCCGCATGTGTGACCAGGGTAGTCAGATGTTACCGAATGTGCAACCAGAGCAGTTTTTATGTCACCTGATATGCAACCAGAGCAGACAGGTGTCACCTAATGTGTAACCAGAGCAATCAGGTGTCCCCGCATGTATGACCAGGGCAGTCAGATGTAACCTAATGGGCAACCAGAAGTCCCCAAAAACGCAACCAGAGCAGCCAAATGTCACCGAATGTGCAACCAGAGCACTCAGGTGTCACCTGATGCGTAACCAGAGATATAATATGTAACCAGAACAGTCAGCTGTCATCTAACATGTAGCCAGGGAACATGTAAAATCTCGTTCCATTTACCGTGGAAGGGTGAGAACGAAGCATCTAGGCCAAGAATCGGAGCATCCATGTAGTAATCGATGCACACCAAGCGCATCAAAAACTCCTCCTCCTCCTCCTCCTCCCCTCTATCTTCCCCTCTCTCCTCCTCTCCTCGCTCCTCCTCTTTTCTCTCCTCGTCATCCTCTTCTTCGTTCCCCTCCTCTCGATCATCTCCCTGCTCTTCCTCGGCTACCATCTTTTCACTCGCATCTATCTCGCGCTCCTCCCTCCCCGCTTCCTCCTCCCATTCTTTCTCTTTCTTCTTAAGACTCTCTCCTTTTTCAGTCATCGCAAATAAAAAATGACTTGATTGCGGAACGAAACTGCACAAGCGAACTTCGACAAGTCGGACTATAATACTGAATAACCCTCGCTCTCTTATCGTGAACGTGAAATCGAATCAAGATCGCGAGAGAAAACTAGCAGCAATGAGTATGCAGGGAACAAGCCGACGGCAATCCCATAGGAACCAGCCAAAACACACCATATCCCAGGAAACAATCTCTACTGTCAGGCTCCTTATGTACTAACATAGCCGTTGATAGTAAAACGCTGGTCTGACGCGAAAACAGCGTACGAACTTTGAGAGTGTCACGATAATTTGCCTGCCTCGTTTTGCCCCACAGAGTGCAACTATGTTTCAGGGTCGGAGTTCGTCATCCCTCGAAAACGTCAGCCTGACGCTGATTCGATAAAGTCAGCTCGCTTTCCGCTACAAGTGTTTGTCTCTGAGTTTGTGCGCTTAGCAATTTTGTGTGTTGTGCAGCAGTTTAACCTGCTCAGCATGAAATCGCTTAACTTGTTCAGAAGTTTCTGCAAATAAATCATCTAATATGTATAAATATAAAACAATTACAAAGCATGCAGCATACGGTAAATTATTCTTGAACCAGGTCTCAAAGGCTTTTATAAGGCTGATCCTCATACAGAAATAATTACGCATGCCAGAAATGCATACTGGGTCGTTACAGAACGGGGACATTGGCTCACTGCTACTCAAGCCACGTCATCAGTCAACGCTGTCTGCACTCTTCACACAACACCAACGCCACCGCATTCAGCAGGAAGTTGAGTCACCCGACAGCAGTGAAAGAAGTTTCCATGCCCAGCTGGCGAATCCACTTGCGAAAAATCAGGGAGGTGGATGAGGCCGAGCAACCATGTCGAGGTGAAAGTTAGGGCAAGAAGGTGAAGCTTTGAGCGAATTTCGTGTTACCATTTTTCAAGTTCGCACGAATCAGAAACTCCCCAGACTATGGCCATAACGAGAAATTGCGGAAGTCGTTTACTAGGTGTTACCTCAGCTGCTCGAACCCCTCACTAGCAGGGAAATCCAGCCCTCTCCTCTGCTTTGCTTTCTCTCTCCTCTCTCATCCCTGAAACCTATTACAACAGCTTAGTTCTTTTCAGGACGCATGCATTAGCAGAGAGCTATTGTACGTATGTTGGTAGCGTGCGTTTTTTTCTCTGTTTCTGATCTCCTCCGAAAGCGGTAGCAGTAGTAGCAGTAGCAAAAGTTTCAAGCCAGGCAAAAACGACCAGGCTGCAGCGTTTTACGGATGCGAGCTGATTCTTAAGGCGCCCCAATACTAGGGTTTACCAAAACAATGGAGCGCTCAATCTTCCTGCTCGGCGCGCTGTTCTTGCTGGCGTGTCTCGCGTTCCCTCCAGTAGGATGTGTACCGCTGAATAATTCCCAAGGTCCGTCGTCTTGCGGAATGAGTCACTTTTTGAGTCGACTCAAAAAACTTTTCTCACGTTTCCTCCCGTATGTGTGTACCTTTGAATGATTCCCAAGGTCCGTCGTCTTGCGGTATGAATCTCCCCGAGTGGATGAAGCACTCGCACAACGCATTTACTGCATGCCTCCATCCTAACCCTTGCTTCCTCTCCCTATCCTTCCCTCCCTATTCTCTCTCCCTCTCTCCACCTACCGTATCTCCAGGACAAATTCTTCAGGAGCTGAATATCGGTTGGGGCAGGAATTTCACAGGGTGGGAAGCAGGAGCGGAGTGCAGCACTAACGGAACTTTGAGACATGATGTGATGGACCAGATTAGCTGCAATGCGGATGGCATCGTCACAAGCATGTGAGCCGCGTCGTCACAAGCATGCGAGCCCATGTAGGGCCCTCTCATAGACGTCTGATAACTTGCATGTGAACATTCTCCTGCATCAATCATTTCGTATCAATCCTCCTGTAGAGATCCTCCCGCGCATAAGTAACACTTTTCCGTTGCCATTGCATCCTACTTATCCCTCCCCCTCTCACTCACTCATATCATTCATCCCTGCAAGTCCCATGTATCCCTGTATGCCCCATCATCCCTGTATGTCCTACTTATCACTTCCTGTCCCATCATCCCTGTATGTCCCATCATCCCTGCACGTCCCATCATCCCTGTATGTCCCGTCATCCCTGCGTTTCCCAACAGGGACTTGTACTACGTTCCCTTGAACGGATTTCTCCCGTCTATCATCACAAATTTGATTGGCCTCACACATTTGTAAGTTTCCCCTTCCCCTTCTTCCAGTGCTTAAAAAAATGTTTTTTTTTCTGGTTCGTTTCTGAGAGTGAGTGCCCGTTGTACAGGGCATGGTTCTTTCAACCCTTTTAAACAATACAACTGGAACTCACTAGATTTGTCTTTTTTTGTTTGGGTTACCGCCATAATATCCCTTCAACTTCAAGGACCCCATGCGAGTGCATTGGTGCTAATGTCCAGTCTTGAAGGTTTATGCCCCTGTTTCCATCTTTTTGTTTTCCCCCCACTCCATTTCCATTGCGAATATATAATTTCAGAAGGCTTTCAGGAGTTCACTTCACCGGGTCATTCCCTGATCAGATCACCAACCTTCCCAACCTGTCGTATCTGTGAGAATCTATATCTTACTCGCTTACAAACGAACCTTTGAAACCTGTCCTACCTTTAAGATGCATGTGTGCCTCGGTTAGGCTTTAGCTGTACATTTTCCTGCGCCCCTTTCTTAACGCTTCTTTCCTTTTCTCCACTGACCTCGCCGTTTTTTATCTCTGCCACGCCCACGTCTTTCAGGGACCTCTCATTAAATACTATAACTGGGCCCATCCCTTACTCTATCGGCAATCTGGACAGCCTTACCTGTCTGTCAGTATTCTTGCACTTAACTTAAATGGGGACATTTTGTATTTATATTGGCATTATGGACAGTCTGATCCAACCTAGGACCAGCAATGAAGACCATTTGTACTTTAGAATTCTCCTAGAACGCTTATAGCCAGTTTTGATACGCTTTAGAGATGGATGCCACCCTGTGCCCTGCAGGTATTTAGCATTCAACGAGCTAACCGAATCCATTCCCAACAGCATTGGCAGCATGAACAGCCTCTTACATCTGTGAGTCGGTATTGCCTTGCTGCTTAACTCGCGTTTACAAACCTTCGTATTATTTGGTATTAATAAATGTTTCGTAACACTGATGGGCCGAGTGTAACAATGATGTTGGAATTGACAAGTTCATTACTCGTCTTTTCTTCAGGGATTTACGGGCGAATAAGCTTCAAGGGAGCATTCCGTCAGCTATGTACAGCCCTGGCATGACCAGGCTAACACATCTGTACGTTCATTGCAACCATGTATGACCATGCATGGATTGTGATCGATGTGTGGTTTCGAAAGAGGGACCGAGATTTTCAACCATGAATACCATGTACTGCTCATGTACAACCCATTGGTACCATGTGCTCCTTTATGTGGTAACATCCCTACTACAGTTTTGAGTGTACCCAACTTCTTTAATTTCGTGTCCTCGACCACCTAGGTCAGTTCATGCGCGATTGCCAACCTTTCATAATTCAATACACTTACTAGTTTCGTACTTATTTCTCATTCTGTCCCATTCATGTTGATCCCCATTACGTTCATTCAATTATCAATACAGGGACCTTAGCAACAACTTCATCGATGGGCAAATTGCGGGAACTGTAGATAATCTACACAACTTGAGATACCTGTAAGACCCGACTTACACTGTTCTTTATTGCCATTTTTTTTCATTCATATTATACATGTTTTTTCTTGAGAGTGTAATCAATCATCAGACGCCACAAAGCCTTGCCACGTAGCACTGTTTTCTTCCGTGAAACATCTTAGTCGCAAAATGCATGTTGCTTTTGTTGTGATTATCTTTGTCCCAGTGACATTCACAGGACCAATTTGACAGGACTCCTTCCTCACACACTTGGTACCTTTCCGAGCCTTACATATTTGTAAGATTTTTGAGTCGCCTAAAACGAGGATCTATTAGATGCTTCTGGATAGCTTTCCTGACAGCAAAGAAGAGCATCATATCTGTTCAAGTAGTACATGAAGGTGCATGAATTTGTGAAACAATTGTTTTCTAATAACAGAATTTGCCTATTATGCCGTGCACACATCTGTATATGCAGGAATATATCACAAACTGGTTTAACATGCCCAGCTGACAACAGTGACTGCAGAAACTCACACATCATCAAATCCAACGCATTCTGCCAGCTGTGCTCTTCCTTCTGCAACACTTGTAGTAAGCCAAAAATAGAGAATTGTAGAACAATGCGTAAGTAACCACTCGATCCATAATAAATGGAAAATGCCATTTCTTCTAATACTTGCATCCATTGTCCAATCTTGGAATATGAAAATACGGGAATATTTGCTGATTAATTGATTGACTACATTGATTTCATTGTGATGCTCCCCACCTTTCTTTTTCTTGTCATCTGCAGGAACTCCAAAACCAAGTGAAGGAGGGGGGATGTCAACAGTAGGCATCATTCTTCTTGTGGTTGTTATTCTGGTTGGGCTTGCCGCGTTGCTATTTGTCGTGCTATTCGCGTGGCGTTGCTATAAAGTGAGGGCTGCAAGAAGATCGGCTAAGGATGAACTAGAAGGCGATCCACCTTTGGAAGCGACGTCTCAAGGCAAGCCTTTCTTTCCCACACCTTTCCATCTCAAACCATTTTTTACCTACCAACCAAACTATCACATTGAGGGGTGCAAGAAGAGCGGCTGAGGATGCGCTAGAGAGTGACGCTCCTATGGAAGTGACTTCTCAAGGCGAGTGTTAGCCACACTAGTTTTGAGACGTCTCAATACCCACACCTCTCCAGCTATAGAAGCTTTGTTTAGGCGAGTGTTACCCACATCTAGTTTTGAGACGTCTCAATACTAGTGACTTCTCAAGGCAAGCGTTACCCACACCTCTCCAGCTCATACAGTGCTATTGCGCTGATGAAGGTTTGACTTGGGGCCTGTCCCAGTCTATGTTACCCACACCTCTCCAGCTCATACAGTGCTATTGCGCTGATGAAGGTTTGACTTGGGGCCTGTCCCAGTCTATGTTACCCACACCTCTCCAGCTCATACAGTGCTATTGCGCTGATGAAGGTTTGACTTGGGGCCTGTCCCAGTCTATGTTACCCACACCTCTCCAGCTCATACAGTGCTATTGCGCTGATGAAGGTTTGACTTGGGGCCTGTCCCAGTCTATGTTACCCACACCTCTCCAGCTCATACAGTGCTATTGCGCTGATGAAGGTTTGACTTGGGGCCTGTCCCAGTCTATGTTACCCACACCTCTCCAGCTCATACAGTGCTATTGCGCTGATGAAGGTTTGACTTGGGGCCTGTCCCAGTCTATGTTACCCACACCTCTCCAGCTCATACAGTGCTATTGCGCTGATGAAGGTTTGACTTGGGGCCTGTCCCAGTCTATGTTACCCACACCTCTCCAGCTCATACAGTGCTATTGCGCTGATGAAGGTTTGACTTGGGGCCTGTCCCAGTCTATGTTACCCACACCTCTCCAGCTCATACAGTCTTGGTTCTTTCCCACAAACCTCCATCCCAAACGATCCTTGAACTAGTAAGAGATTGAATTGTTCATGCAACTTTGATCATATCTCTTTCTCTTTCTCTTACTCTTTTTCTTCCTTCATTTCTTTGTGTCCTGTGTGATTCCTCATTCTTCGCTACCGCTATGTTTGTACAACCGTCCCTAATTTCAACCAAACCGTTCTCTGACCACCACCCACCGCACTCAACCTGCAGGCAAGGAGGGCGACGACCCAGAATCCAAAGAAGCAGCATCAGATGCAATAGCTTTAGGGTCGGCAGTTGTAAGGAGGGACAACGATGCCTTTGCAGTGGATATGAACACTAACAAAAAAGCAGAACAAGAAGCAGAAGCAGCAGCAATAGCAGCGGCGGCGGCAGCGGCATCAGCAGCAGCGGCAGCAGCGGCAGAGAGGCAGGATGATGCAATTATAGCAGATATAGAAGCAGCGCGGTTTCAAGTATGCAATGAGTATTCCCTAGCAGAGGTAACAGCAGCAACAGCAAACTGGGCTGAGGGGAACAGGCTCGGCAGCGGCAGCTTTGGGGATGTATTCAAGGGCGTGTCTCCTCATGGCGGCGACCAGATATGGGCTGTCAAACGGGCTCGGATTCTCACAAACGACTTTCAAACCGAGGTACGTTGTTGGGGGATCATCCGACTTATTGGCTTCTTGTTGCACCACTGTTCCTCGTGCTCCTTGGGCTCGTATTCTCACAAATACTTCCAGACAGAGGTACGTCATTGGTGGACAGCTGTGAGTGTGACCACACATCGGCTGATAGGGACACAAGTAGGAGCCAGCTGCCTTTACATGGCTGCGACAGCTCTGGGGATGGTTTCAAGGAAGTTTTTCCTCACAGCTGCGACCAAGTATGGGCTGTCAAACGGGCTCAAGATGTGTGAAATACATGTTCGCATTTCTCCTATGCTCCTTGTGTTCCTTCATTCAGGTGAAGGAGATGGCTAGCAAGCACCATCCCCACCTCGTGTGTCTCTTAGGCTATTGCATCGACTTCAACCCGACCACAGGGCACATGGAGCAAATGCTCACCTACGAGTTCATGCAAAACCGCGACCTTGAGAGCTGGATCGGACTGACTTTTGAGGTGCCTCAAAAGTCAACCCAGCCACAAGGCACACGGAGCCAACTCTGATCGTGCGCATCATTCCACACGCTCCTCCCTATGCCCCTACAGGTGAAGGAGATGGCGAGCAAGCACCATCCCCACCTTGTACGCCTCTTAGGCTATTGCATCGATTTCAACCCGACCACAAGGCACATTGAGCAGATCCTCATCTACAAGTTCATACAAAACCACGACCTTGAGAGCTGGATCTGAGCGTATCACTTTATCATTGTTCCCACCAATTCCTGTGCTTCTTCTCGTGTTGTATCAGGTGAAAGAAATGGCCAGCAAGCATCACCCTCACCTCGTGCGTCTGTTGGGCTACTGCATCGACTTCAACCCATCAACAAGGCACATGGAGCAAATCCTCATCTACGAGTTCATGCCAAACCACGACCTTGAGAGCTGGATCGGACCGGGCGCGTCCGTTCCGCTTTCGCTGCCCCAGCGGCTGGATGTTCTGATTGGAGTGGCAAAAGGGTTGCAGTATTTGCATGACTTTGGGATCGTGCACCGGGATATTAAGCCTGCAAACATTCTACTTGGCGCAAAAATGGAGGTACGTCCAAACCTGCTTGAAGCCCTTAAGACACACAACAATATTTCAGCTTTGTGTGTGTGTGAACTTCCTTAATGTTGCTTATCCTCTCATCATTGCCTCTGTCACTGTTGCTTACCCATCCTCTCATCGCATCATTGTTTGCAGCTCTGTGAACAGGCCAACATTGCAAGCTTTATTCTTCCTTGTCCATAGTTTCTCTGAAGTTGTCTTTACTGTCACTTATCTTCTCATCATTGCCTTTCATTACTGTCGCTACACACCCTCTCATCCTACCGTCGTTTGTGATTATGTGATTGTTATTGTGATTATGAGACGTCTCAAAACTTATGTGATTGTCAGCAGTCCAAGATTGCAGATTTCGGCCTTGTGAAGCTAAGTGGAGGCACGACCATGGGAACATCCGTGGCTGCTACGAGAGTGATGGGAACTCCGGGCTATGTGGACCCTGCGTATTACAAGTCACACAAAGCCACTCCAACAGCAGATGTGCACAGGTACAGACTGGTGCCAGCCGGGGTTGGGTAGATAAGTAGAGTAGAGATGGGATCGCCGAGCTATGTGAACCCTGCTTACGGCAAGTGGGAGTCTCACAAGGCTACTCCATCGACAGACATGCACAGGTGGGAGGACACATGGGAGGGCACATGGGAGGACACATGGGAGGACACATGGGAGGACACATGGGAGGACACATGGATCAGGGTAGTGTCTATAGTTGTTTAACATCATCCACAAAGACATTACATGTTTGTACCGATCGTGATAGTGTGGAAAGAGAGGTGCGTTATAGCCCAAGCGAAACAAAGGCCCACGTACAGAGGCCACATACACCAGTGTTTACGTTTTGTGCTGTGCCGTGTCCTGCGATTGTTTGGTGTGCTGGCAGCTTTGGAGTGGTGATGCTTGTGGTGATCACGGCTCGCAAGGCAGTTCATGTGACAGAGGACGCTCTATTCAACCTCAAGCAATGGGTGAGATATGAGGGACGGGTGGGGCACGAGTGATGGGTGGGGCACGAGTGATGGGTGGGGCACGAGTGATGGGTGGGGCACGAGTGATGGGTGGGGCACGAGTGATGGGTGGGGCACGAGTGATGGGCGGGAAATGAATGATGGTTGAGGCATGAGCAAAGGGTGAGGTACGGCACAAGGCTGCTCCTGGCACGAGACGAGTACAACAACCATGTCATTCCTCACACACTGCAATTGTCGCCATCTTTCAGTTGCTTGTGCTCTTCATACTTCCATTTCCCCTCGCATGCACCCCTTATGATTACGTTAGCCAGATACGGTACCACTACCCCATTTTGCACATTGCCTGAACAATGCAGGTGGCTCCCCTGGTGGCATCAAGCAACCTGATGGCCTTCAAGGGTCCGTATCTAACCGCACCAGATGATCTGATTCTGCGCACCCCTGGCCTTGCCCTCTCCTGCCCTACCATGCCTACCCACTGTTTCTCATCCCACAATCAATGCAGGTGGCTCCCCTGGTGGCATCAAGCAACGTAGCAGCCTTCAAGGATCCGTATCTAACCGCACCAGACGATCTGATCCTCCGCGTGGCTCGCCTGGCCCTCTCCTGCACGGCCATGCCCACGGCATCTCGCCCCACCATGAGCCAAGTATTGGTGGAGCTGGTTAAGATGAGGGGGGAGGTTGTGGAGGAGAAGGGGAGCAGGGCTGCATCGCGCATAGATAGAGAGATTGATAGCTCCGCTGAGGCTGATTTTGATGCCCAGATGGCTCGCTTGGAGCTTGTTGGCAGCCAGAGTGACCCATCGACTGATATGGTCTGAAAGAGTGGTAGCAAGGAGTGAGATGACCCTGATCAGGACTGAGTCATTGTCAAATAGTGGGCTCAACATACGGTAGTTGCATTACACTGCATACATATGCTGTACATTTATTGCAGGGTGTTTGCTCACCAATATGTAGGTTCCACTATGTAGGTGTCATTGTCAATAAGTGGGACTTATTAGGTGAATGCTCAGTTGCTGCTGGACCAGTGTTTTCTGCAACTTCCGTGCACTGGTATGTATTGATAACTAAGTATTTTGGACCAATGATTTTTCTCAACATTCACAATTTGGCATAAGGTATACCTCAGGACTTTGAAAGGAAAGATGATTCCTCCTTAACTGGTTTAGCAGCTTTCTGAACCGAAACAGCTACACGTATAATCAGATCAGACTCCTGTTTAACCATTTAGCCCAGATGTTTATCCTAGTTCCCTTGTTGGAATGGCGTATGGGTTGCCACACTACCAACCAGCCACTAAGGTCGACGGTGCACGCTCGACACGTGCGGGAATGGAAGGGGAGCGGTAGGATGATAGGCGAGACGAAAGACGTACGATTGCAGGAAACGGGAAGAGGACAAATGCAGGGTGCTGAGAGAGAGAAAGGACGGGGACAATCTATGGTTTGAACCGAAATCAAAGGTCCAACAGACGGGATTCGCCAGCATTAAGGTCGTGATACCAGGTTCCTGTTCATTTATTCAGTAGCTTCAACGAAGATTAATATGAGAAAACGGTGCTGGCAATTCACATTTGAGAAAATCCAAAATCGATAGATGAAAGCGAATATCAACAACGCAAAGCGACAAAGCACTGGCAAAATCCGAGATACATGCCGTCCACAACCCGCTTATCGGCCACGGGCGAGAGCGCGCTCGGAAATGTCAACCTCCTCCACTATTCTGTCGAGCCGCTTCTTCGGGATGGGGTAGGTAGGCCCGAAGCTGATGTAGTGACCGGAAATGGCGTTGAGGACGGAATACATGTTGCTGAAGGACGGCCTGCCGGCCACGCTCTTCTCGCGGCGATACCTCGCCACCCACGTGTTGGACAGCTCTCGGAGTTCACTCACGGCTTCGCTCCTAGCGGGGTCGTCTCTAGCGAGGCCCAGAGTGTACCTCACTCTCTCGATGACGTTGGTCGTAGCCTTAACATAGTCCTCCTCGAAGTCAGCCAAAGCAAGACCGGGTGCGGAGAGCACAGCGGCCAGGGATGCAACTCCGGCGAGAGAGATAGTCCTGCGGGAAACAGCAGGCTCCAGGGAAGCCTGAACATGTGAGACCCGCTTCACGGGAATGCTGACAATCACAGAAGAATCGGCCAGCTTCTCGGTCCTAGAAAGGAACGAAGTCTTCAGGGTGGCGCTAGAGGTCGACGCGGCGGCGCAGAGAGCCATCTTGCAGGAGATAGAATGACCAGGCAGGGACAGTTCAGTATCAACTATCCAAGGAAATCAAGAAACAAGGACTGCACAATGCTAGTAAATGTGAAGGGGTAGATTTACAATTCAGACCAAAGTCCGCTGGTCTGGAAAGCAACAGTAGCCGTTCACTGGTTCGGCGGGGAACTGTGTGGGGCAATTCCCGAGTCAGGCACAGACGCACTGGCGGGGAAACATCACCAGAAAGCGGGCGGAGATTCATCACTGGGATGGTTAGCGCCAGCGTGTCATACACCACGCGTCCTTTGTGGAATGGATATGTGCTGATTCGGAAAATTTGATGCCTTGCTGGATGCCGTGTGTAAATGTCCACGTCCGCGGTCACCATCGATCTGCACGAGCGCCACGTCGAAGCGGGTGGTTCTGTGCTCTTGAAACAGCCACCGAACCATCAGAGACACCATCAGGCTCGAAGTTGTCGAAGCTCATAAACGAAGCTGTGATGGAGGCATGGTAAAGCAATTACCGTATTACCCCGGATATAAGCGCACCTGCACTTATGATAAAACAGTGTTTTTTTGGGGGGTGCGCTTATAATTGAGTAAAAATTATAAGCGCATGCGCTTATAATATAACAAATACAAATATATATTTCAATGCACCAAATTGTACATCTCATCCTTCAGATTTCAATCGAATCGAAATTGTAGAAATTCACATGTCAAAATCGCGCGCGGGCGATTCTTCACGAGCGCCCAGAGGCAAAATACAGTGTAACACCTCACTTTGAGGGCGTGCCAGCTCGTGCTGACTGGACGCGCAGGATGTGAGAGGTCTTCGAAAGTCAATGTAAGCGAAAATGGGTTGTGGCCTCGCTGCAAAACTGAGATTCGTTACCGTTTTAATGAAGAATTATAAATAAAATTACACATGCGCTTATAATATATCAGGGTTTTATAAGGGGTGCGCTTATAATTGAGGATCGGCCATAAGCGCATTGCTCCAGATACAAGCGCATGCGCTTTTAATAGGCCTGCGCTTATATCCGGGGCCATACGGTAAACGGTTGCACAAAGCAGTGTAGAGTATAAGAAACAGAAATATTATATTTACAGCTTTGCCATAGCAATTTTATGAATTCTCAAGCGTGCAAATAATAAACAAATAACAAAATTGTTACTAAATTAACCACCGATACAATGAAAGTGATGAGATAATATGAAGATATTTTTTTGTGGCAGATAACCTGGAGAAACGGGATTTGGTGCACGCTGGGCAAAAGGAAAAGGCGAAAGGCGACGCGGTGTATCCTCGCTGTTGATATTAGTGCTCGATAATGTTTTTTCGAGAGTTCGGGTTGTGCGAAACGCAGTCTTGTGACAATCGTCAGCAAACACCCCGAATTTCAATTATAACCACACGGCATGTTGGGTTTCGAAAAGTAGAGAGCACCGCGAAGATGGTCGCAAATATCATCGATTCATAAGATTGGGTTGCGGGATTCGATTACGAATTGGTTGAGCGCGTACGATATTCGATGCAGATATGAATGTTGTAAGAATACTGAACGAGAATGAATGCATTGAACAGAAATTTGGTACAAGTACTAACCCTAATTGGGTTGTACCCCTTATGGGCTACCTCACTACAGCCTACACAATACAAGCAGTATAACATTTTGACACACCCCCATAGGCAAAGTGGGGGAGAACAAGTGGTCACAATACCAGTCAAGAAAAGCAAAGCAAGCTCAGGGTGGATCACGAAGTCACCACACATTCCGAGCTCAAGCAAATGGCCACAAGGCCAGTTCACATGCAAAGTTATATAAAAGAGAACAAACAGTACAGTGATCATAACCTAGCAAGTGTAAGCATGCAGGTATATATATAGATCACAGTACAAGCAAAGTCACGCAGTGAGCAAGTGAGGCAAAGTAGGCACAAGGCCTAAAACAGTACAGAAACGCTGATGATCACCCCTTGGTGAATATATCAGCAGTGTTGGCCCGAGTGGCCACGTACGCAAGACGAAGCTGACCACGCTGCTGCAACTCTCGAGCAAGGAAGTAACGCAGAGCGATGTGCTTCGTTCTGTGCTCCAGTTTGTGCTCGTGACACAAGGCAATCATGGCCTTGTTGTCTACGTACAGAACTGAAGAAGAACGAGGCCGCTCTTCCAAGTCGGTCATAAGGTAGGTGAGCCAGCGTAACTCCTGTGCAGCCATGGCCCCTGCGTAGATCTCATGTCCCATGTCTCTTTGCTGGAGACCTCGCCTACACTGCGTTGATGCCTTGCTGGATGCCGTGTGTAAATGTCCACGTCCGCGGTCACCATCGATCTGCACGAGCGCCACGTCGAAGCGGGTGGTTCTGTGCTCTTGAAACAGCCACCGAACCATCAGAGACACCATCAGGCTCGAAGTTGTCGAAGCTCATAAACGAAGCTGTGATGGAGGCATGGTAAAGCAATTACCGTATTACCCCGGATATAAGCGCACCTGCACTTATGATAAAACAGTGTTTTTTTGGGGGGTGCGCTTATAATTGAGTAAAAATTATAAGCGCATGCGCTTATAATATAACAAATACAAATATATATTTCAATGCACCAAATTGTACATCTCATCCTTCAGATTTCAATCGAATCGAAATTGTATAAATTCACATGTCAAAATCGCGCGCGGGCGATTCTTCACGAGCGCCCAGAGGCAAAATACAGTGTAACACCTCACTTTGAGGGCGTGCCAGCTCGTGCTGACTGGACGCGCAGGATGTGAGAGGTCTTCGAAAGTCAATGTAAGCGAAAATGGGTTGTGGCCTCGCTGCAAAACTGAGATTCGTTACCGTTTTAATGAAGAATTATAAATAAAATTACACATGCGCTTATAATATATCAGGGTTTTATAAGGGGTGCGCTTATAATTGAGGATCGGCCATAAGCGCATTGCTCCAGATACAAGCGCATGCGCTTTTAATAGGCCTGCGCTTATATCCGGGGCCATACGGTAAACGGTTGCACAAAGCAGTGTAGAGTATAAGAAACAGAAATATTATATTTACAGCTTTGCCATAGCAATTTTATGAATTCTCAAGCGTGCAAATAATAAACAAATAACAAAATTGTTACTAAATTAACCACCGATACAATGAAAGTGATGAGATAATATGAAGATATTTTTTTGTGGCAGATAACCTGGAGAAACGGGATTTGGTGCACGCTGGGCAAAAGGAAAAGGCGAAAGGCGACGCGGTGTATCCTCGCTGTTGATATTAGTGCTCGATAATGTTTTTTCGAGAGTTCGGGTTGTGCGAAACGCAGTCTTGTGACAATCGTCAGCAAACACCCCGAATTTCAATTATAACCACACGGCATGTTGGGTTTCGAAAAGTAGAGAGCACCGCGAAGATGGTCGCAAATATCATCGATTCATAAGATTGGGTTGCGGGATTCGATTACGAATTGGTTGAGCGCGTACGATATTCGATGCAGATATGAATGTTGTAAGAATACTGAACGAGAATGAATGCATTGAACAGAAATTTGGTACAAGTACTAACCCTAATTGGGTTGTACCCCTTATGGGCTACCTCACTACAGCCTACACAATACAAGCA